TAACATTTTTCTGTTTCTGATTGGCGTTAAGTTCCTCGGTCATAACATTGACCAATTTCGAGGATGTTTGCTCAACAGAATTGACCTCAATCGTATTGATATCGGTAAGAGAAGGGATGCACAACCAAGCAGCTCTGTTGCTCGGATGATTTGACAGAGCTGCAGAAAATGAGGCAAACAAGACGAGAATTTTAAATAGAGAGATAGAGGCGTATTTCGCCTGACTTCTGCGGATAACATCTCCTAGATCTGCATATAATTCTTTATATCACTATAAGCCTTATTCAATAATTGTTTATTGATTTATCTACAATACTCGTCACATTAGTAAGGACAGTAGGGATATTTTCTGCCCCCTGAATGTTGTTTCTGGCATCACAGAAGCAAAAAATAATCAACACTGGGAGGGAAGGAGCACACCTTTTTTGTCGAAATATGGGTGCTGCACGAGGTATCCCAACCTAGTGTGACGAGAGTCGCAGCAAAATAATATGTGAAGTTTTAACGTACATTTAGTTATATGATTCTTAGCATTAACGCTATTTTTTTTACCTGCTTTGTTTCTTTAAGGTTACTTCGCATACACTGGAAGTAGCCATAAGGCCAAACTGGAAACTCCATGGATTTCGGTTTCTGCAGGGAATTCTGTGCCCTTATGTCTGACATTCAATTACTCTATGCGCAGCTCGAATGCCAGTTTTAATGTGAGCTGTAAAACAAGTTTCACTAATGAGGAGAATCTGATTTTCAAACTGAATGGGTATCACGGAAAAACGTGGTTTAAGGGTCAGGTATTATGGAAAGCAGAGGGGACATCTAGGGTAATTTTTTTTCTTTCTTTTTCTCATGACCTTTTTTTTTTCTTTCTTTCTTTTCTCTTAAACTACAACCAGTTACAAAAAAACGTGAATCACTCCAACTCATTTACGCGAAAATGGTGTTTCTCGAGCAAGATTCATACCCCTCATCTTTGAACGATGGAGATAAAGAAAAATCCCTTGCCCTTGTAAGCATTTTGACTCCCAGGCGGGCCGGAAGCTGGGAAATTGACAGTCAACCTTTTCGCAACTGGTTGTAGCCTAGTTCTGCGCCGCTAGGTAAACCGGCAAGTAAAAACCTAGTTTTTAAGGGGAGGTTTCCCTAAGACCGGTCTGACAATTTCCTAGTCGGGAATAAGATTCTTTAAATAAATTTCAAGCGGTGCGAACGAAATTAAAAATGGGTCAATGAACTCACACTTAAATCAAGCAGGTAAAAACAACAAAATAAATAGTTTTGTTAGTATCAATGAAAAGTGGATGGCGTTCTATGATAGACAAGGTATTAATGTCATAAAAACTCTCTTGTGGACGCCTGCAAATGCGCCAATGTTTGCAATTTTAACATTCGAATTGGGTTTACTTTAAGCATGAACTTTGAACTTTTCTTGTAAACATCACGGCAATTAAGTTATAAAAGCTCTCTTGCCTTCTTCACCGAAAGATACCGGCACGTTTGAGTTTGGAATCTGAAAGGTAGAAGGTTAGATCTTTCCTGTAAAGAGAATTTTAATTCCAGTTTTAAGTTTCACTTAAGACTGAGATTTAGCTTAATTTTCGCGTCTTTTTAACAGGTGGTTTGGTAGGGTCTTTTCGATTTATCCAGGCTGATTTATTTTTTATATGTAGATGTTTAGTAGCTCAAAAGTACTTGAATGACATGGTGTTGTTTATTTTTAGCATACTTTTTGCGTTTTGAAGCAGCGCGGTTCAAAAGTCGCATTATTTTCGACCCGTGAATCGGTCCAAATAGGCCCTTTGCAGCTAACCATTCACGTGGTACAAAACCGCCATGCTGGAGAGTAAAAGTCGCGCAGGGACAAGACAAACAAAGAAAATTAATTACCACTTCACATTGTCTCTGTGTTTTATTTGTCTTGTCCCAGTGCGACTTTTGCTCTCCAGCGAGGCGGTTTTGTACCACGTGAATGGCTAGCTGCAAAGGGCCTATTCTCACCTTGGATGGTCAGAAGGAAGTCGTTTTGGCGTGTAACAAAAAAAAAAGCAAGAAATCTAACTAACTGGCCCTGTTTTATTACATGTATAACAAATATTTTTTCGGTTCACAGAATACATGTATATTCGACCCGAAAATCTGATCAGACCGGTCTTAGCTATACGCTAGGGAGACGCCTAAAATTTGAACATTCAATCTAGAACATTCAGACGTCGTATTTCACATGAATCGAATCGACTCCAATCAATTAAGTTCGAATTCTGAAAGAAGTAAAACGTCTGAATCAATTCCAAACCGCTAATTTCCACCCCAAGCAGATTCTTCTTGGTAGTGGTATGAAGCGAGGCCGGTTACCTATCGATTCAGAACAACAAACTCAAGCCGAAGAGCCTTTGCCTTAACGGGTTTTGAAATCATATTATGAGATCAAGGGGAAAACAGATCAATTTTGGCACCTCCAGTTAATACAAGACTTTCACTTATCAAGAATTTAAGGCCGCCGGTCGGAAACAAACTCCAAATTCTAATGCAAATTAAACCAGTCAGTGCAATTAAATGGCTGGCCTCGGTACAGAACTGAAACCAGACTTTAGTCGATAAAATCTGTGAAATATGAATCAAAGGTGATTTATTTTGTTTCTTCATGTTATTTTTCATCGACTTTTAAATGATAAACCTGAGTAAAACAAGGGACTGGATCTGAAACTTAGCTAAATTACATCTGTCACTGTTGTTGACAAGATTGTTACTTGCAGAAAAGCACAATATAGTAATATATAATATATAACAATCATTCACTGAAGTGGAGGGTTTCTTTCTCGAGGCAAGAGAGAGAACCCTGGGAGCGAGGTTGCAACTCAGCCGTTCTTCAAGCCTAGCTCAGCCGGGAATTACGGCTGTATGATAGACCGGCGTTGATTTAGACACCGACTTTTACATTTTAATTCAATGGTCATTTTCCCCTTTCGAATTTACTTCAGCTGGAATAATATCAGTTTCTGAATCATTCCAGTAGGCCTAAATTCTTGGTTGTTAGCCTAAATTCCAGTTCCATTCTTGTCATTTGAAGTAAGGTTCCTGTACCAGGCCTAACTATTATACCAATGCAAAAATGTAACGCGTGTTTACATATTTTTTCAGATCATTTTCAGAGGCTTTTCAGAAGGGGAAGACGACATTGCCATTGGCATTGACGACGTCAAAATTTTAACACGTAACTGCGAGGTGTATCCTGATTTCTCCTTACCAGGTTACTTTCGCCAATAACGTTATTTAAGCTACTCTGTAAATTCTGGATGAGTGTTGTACATTGTCTGATAAACTGTAGTATATAATTTTGGTACTGTAGAATCATGGCTTGAATACCAGCACGTCCAAATGGACAAACAGCTATCTTTTTTTGCTTGCCCGAGGCGACTATACTTGCTTGTCTTAGTTAATGATTTAGGGGAACAATGACTTGCCTAGATCCTTGCCTATTGGACCAGTATCTTGAAGAGTGTTTTGCCTAGCAAAAAAATCTACTCGTCCCGAAATACGGACGGGACTTTATCGAGGGTCTCAATGGGGTGGTGGCTTTTACGGTTATCGGCTAAAGGTTTGGCTCTTTTACGGCTATCGGTTAATTTTTTTCAGTTACGGTTAATGACAAAGTAAAAAATTAACTTCTTTTATTTCAAAAAGTTAAATATTAATTAACCTGTATTTTTTTGTATCTTTATATCAAAGTAAAGGTCTTCGGATCATCTCGGGATGAAATAAGATATTCTTTTGAAAAATTTTAACATTTGATAGATCATACTTTTTATAAAGTATTCCACTTCTAATATTATTTTACACATAGAAATGTAAATAGGCAATTTAAAAGTAATCTTTGTGAAAAAGCAAAAGCAGACACGCGAACGCCCAACTCGAGGCCGGGGCGCGACATTCATTATAACAGAAATGGCCGTTTTCACACTGGAGAAGGATTATTCGGGTGAGTAGGTAATACGTCTTAATTTGAAAATGGAATAGTTTTAATTTTGAATGAACAATCCGCCTGACTTTTGAAGACGGGATTATCCGTTCCAGATAGCCTGTGTACAGTCGCCCCCTCCCCCCCGAAAAAATCGGAGAAGGGTGTCTGTGGGGAGGGCGCGCGCGACTGTACACAGGCTAGACTCAGACGGATGATCCATCTCTAGCTCTAGTGTGAAAAAGGCCAATAACAAAATTCCCGTGTCCATCGTTTTTAATGATAGCGAAGGACTGTACGGAACGACTGTCTGCCGTTACTTTGTCCGTAGGCCGCATTATTCCGCGCGGCTAATGCGTTTCGGGTCACGTGGTCCTAGCGAGTTCGCCACCGAAATGCCTTGACCGAGATTGCGTTGGAAGACGCCGTACAGGGACAAGGCATAATGCCTACCGTACCGTCAGAGAAAAACAGGGAAATGTTGTTTATCGGCAATGTGTTTTACAAACAGTGACATCTCTGCGTGTTGTTTCACAGTGTTTCGAGGGCACGACCTCCTGAAAATTGCAAATATTAATCCCCAGCAAGAAGGCACACTTTCGCTGTGGGAAAATTAGTTCCTCGAGAGAGCGCCGGAAATGGAGCCTAGGTCTTGGTTAACACCTAAAAGGCGCTTCGCCTAACGTGCGTACGGAGCCACACTAACCGGGAAATAAAAAAACGCAACCATAAGCGAGTTTAGTACCTTCCTTAAAAGTAGCAAATCTTCGGAACAATTTCTTTTACGGTTAACTCTTTTTTACCCTATTTACGGCTAACGGTTAAAATTTTTCAATTTTTACGGCTATCGACTAAATTTTTGGCCATTTTACGCCTATCGGTTAACCCCATTGAGACCCTCTTTATCGAGCCCTGTGGACTTCTATGAACTCCAAATGTAGTATATAGTTTCTTTGAATTCATATATATGTTACACTTTTATACTGATCAATTCAGGAAGAATCAGCTGCCTTTTATTTCCGATACAAATAATGTAGTCATCCACAAAATGTCAGTGTTTCTGGAAGGAAATATTAATACCCAATTTGCACACTTTAATCATCAACTTTTAGATCATAAGTGCAGTAGCGATGAGTTTCAGTGTGACAATGGGCAATGTGTTATGTCATCTTTACGATGTGATGGAGATGTGGCGTGCCTTGATGAATCAGACGAAAAAGACTGTGCATGCTTATCTAATGAATTCAAGTGCAATGACGGGCTCTGTCTTCATTTGACCAAGCTATGTGACGGTCAAAAGGATTGTTCAGAGGGTTCCGACGAAGCAAATTGTGGTAAGGATCATTTACAGTTAATGTGTCGATTGAGTATCAATATTCATATTCCCTACATTATTCAGTCAACAGATTCGGATTCAGTTCAAGATAAGTGGTAATGTTGATAAAATTAATGTTTCAGAGAAGAGTTGTCCCGCCGAATTTCAGTGTATTGACGGAACATGTATCTCATGGTCCTCTACCTGCAGACCACGTGAAAAGTCGTGCTCAGACCATTCTCACTTTTCAACGATTTGTGGTAGGCTATTTTCAAGTTACACTTTCGTTAATTTCATTTTCAGAAGTATGACTTTGTCCATGAAGGTTATATCTATATGTAACTATTTTTTAAAAGACATCGCTAGGTTTTAGAAGTTTTTGGAATTTAAACAATGTCGAGGTCTCTCTAGTTCTGATAATTATTTAAAAAACTGGCTCACAATCCTTTACAAAGATCGCTATACGAGCTCACGGTTTCAACTTCAGATACTTATACGTCAAGTCGAGGCCATGAGCAGTACTAACGTTTCTGAGTCCAATTTGACACAGGCTCAGGAGAGTGCCCTTTGAATGAGTTGGATTGTACAGACAAACCAAACGACATGCTACAATGCAATTCCTTGAGAGGTATTTTAACTTGATCATTTTTTAGTGTTGACAGAAGATGTGGCAAGAGAAAAGCCCAGTATGTTTTAAAAATAATTATGGTCTTTGTTATTTATTCTTAAAGAAATAAACTCTTTTTACCATTAAAAGCAGTTGAAGTCTGTCACATCACATTCATAACAAATTAAACTCAATTGTATTAGAAACGTTTTCAGTGGCGAATTAAGTAGGTGGGGGGCTTGCTCATTTAGTCTCTAAGATAAGAGGGGGGCCCGGCCTCGAAATTTTATCTGTTGGTTCCGCAGGCCGAGAAAAAACGGGAGGGGCCCAGGCCCACCGGGCTACACCCTTAGAACCCTTACTGGTCCCAAAAAGAATGATAGAAATGAAACTACGGCATTTCATCAAGGAAGTAGGAGAAAGAATTTCACTAAGAAGTACAATATTATTTTCTTTGGCTGTTTTGAAATATTTGGGTACTTGAAATGAGTTGTAAGTTAAATCTTAGTACATCATACTGAAAATTTCACCTTTAGGTTATTGTGGCTTTGAGAATGACCTGTGTGGTCTGACAAGTGAATACATGAACACCACAGATTTTCAGTGGAAGTTTGGTTCCGGCAAAACTCCATCCAAAAACACCGGTCCTTCATTTGACCACACCACACTTTCAGAAAAAGGTAAAACGTGGGAAATGAGAAAGTTGAATTAATCTTGAAGAAATTCATTCGACTAGCATTAGATCAACTCTGATACCGAATTTCTTTGGCTATGTATAAAGAGTCCTCTAAAACTGAAATTAGTGACTCATCCTCATAAGGCAGTAATGATAAATAGAAGTCGTCTTTGGACAAGCTTCATCACTATATTAGCCCAAAATAGACCAAGTCCCTTTAAAAAAATTCTGTTATAGAGATCATTTTTTTAATAGTTGAGTTTTCGGTCACCGTTTTCATCTGATCAGACTTGTTAACGGAAGGCCAAATGAATCCATGAAAAAGGACAAGTAGGAAGATATTACCGTTCAATTTTAATAAATTGACTTGTCTGTGAGCTAACTGACCATGTGACTCTATAGACGATAAATAATATACATTTGTTTGTCAAATATTAGTGAAAATAAGTTATTTTTATCTCACCTTCTTTGTGGGCAAGGTACATACATTTTTATTGAAGCCTCAAGGCGTTCCCCTGGCATCCGAGCTCGCCTGATCAGCGACTGGTTGGCACTAAACAAGTCAGTTTGCTTGCAATTCTGGTACCACATGCTTGGAAGGCACATGGGAGAACTAAAAATTAAGACTAGAACGAATGATGCAGAAAGGCTTCTGTGGAAGCAGGGAATGAGGGATCTCGGAGATAATTGGATCTTGGCGCAGACACCAGTTCATGTTACCAAACCATTTCAGGCAAGTGTGTGTATTTACGTTATCACCTAAAGTTGAAGAAAGGCTAAGGCAAGCATTTTTTTTAGTGCAGCATCGCACTAGATCTCTAATACATTTACAATTCAGCATGGGCACATTACGAAGACTCCGCCATATGGCCATTACAATTTACATGCGCATTCGTGTCATGTCGATCTTTGTTAGAACTTCAGCTCAGGGGCGGATCTAGGGTTTTTCCAAAAAGGGGGTTGTAAGTATGAGAGTTCAAGGCAAACGTCCCAGGGGCAAAGGAATGGGGGTGGGGAGGGTAATGTTTGAATATGTAGATTTTCTTTATTTTGATTTCAGGTATAAATTTGTCAAATTCGAGACGCTATTATTAAACACTAAGAGTACAGTGCAACACCGATAGTTGTTTGTCTCTTTTTTTACCTGCCTATTTAATGAAACAGACTAGCTTGAAAGAGCCTTCTAAGGATGAGCCTTTACAAAGGCTTGCTGGCATATCTCGTCTACCTCTACCTCCAATCTCTCGGAGTAGTACATGGCAATCACCGCGAGATCAGAGAACTGCTGTTCAGACACTGTTGACCTAAAGCAGGTCTTGATTTATTTCATGTGATCGTTAGGGAGCAGGCAATGACCAGAACGCGATAGATCTTTGGGGAAGCATCTTCATCGCCAGTACCTAATGCTAATAAAAGGTTGTTTGGAAACTCCCTGTCTGTTGACTGACAGAGTGTTTTCCTTCTGCGTACCTCATTTCCAAGGGACTGAGAAATGGAATGTCTTTCTCCCAGAACAGCACGCCTTCTACTTCATCATCCAGCTGCAGTGCCTTATTTACTATAATCGACGGCGCGAGACAAAGCAGATGGCGGGCGTGACGATCTTCGTCGGACAATTTATCTTGCATTTTGATGATTAAGGAGTCAAGAAGAGGAACAGCTACAGTCTTCTTGTAATGATCGATTGGACAGGAACTTATATTATAACTTATGACATAATTTTTAGTATGAAAAAGGGGTTGACATGGGTAGCCAGACAAGTTTGAAAACTTCCCAAAGAGGGGGGTTGCAACCCCCTCAACCCTCCCCTTGGATCCGACTCTGAATGCTCACTTATAACCACAAGCCTTGCCTTACACTGAAAAGGCGAGGGCAAGATCATTCCTTAAAAAAGCGGCTAAACTTAACCCGGAGGGAGACTCTTTCCTTTGGGCTTTTTCATGAAAATGAGTCCTGACAAGAGCGAAACTGCTTTTCACGGCTGTTCCGCATGTCTAAGGTATTTTTCTATTACCCAGAGCTGGTATGTAGTGTGCTGAATTATGGTTTCGTTGATAACTTGATACTTAGACAATCAATAAAAAAATGAAACACCTCAAGAGGAACCAGAAAATGTTCCAGGACTAGTGGTAACAAGTATCACATACATCGTACATTTTATGCGGACCGATACTGGCTGAACATTTTAATTTATGTTTATTTGTTTTATACACATGCAGCTTGTCATCGAGGGCGTGATTGGAAATGGTCTTGAAGGTGACATCGCATTAGATGACCTCGCCGTCCTCAGTGGAAACTGCAACTTAATAACACAGCAGGGTTTGCTAATCCTCAATGATTATTTTTAAGTTAATTAAAGTGGGTTGGTTAAAACGTTTAACGTAGACCGGGGTTTTGATAGGATAATGAATGGGCTCTTTATATCTCTTTTTGTTAACTAGTAGATTGGTTAAGACATTTCTATTCAACTCTCCTGCCATCCTCGGAGACCCAGGGGCAGAGTGTGGGGGCGAGGGAAAGTCTAAACAGGCGGGAAAATATGGCACGAAGAAAAGTAAAGAACGGCTTGAAGAGCCCCTGGGGACAATGTCTTACCAGACCAGTTCCAAACGGTCGCCGCCATTCTGGCTTCTGATTGGTGCCAGAAAAACAAAAGTTTTCTCTCCTGCATTTACCCGTTGTTTATGTTTTTGTTTTTCTTTCCAGTAAGTCCTGACTGTGATTTCAGCTTTGGAATGTGCGGGTGGACTGGGCACGATGACTGGAGGATTCACAAAGGTTAGCAAGATATCTTGTTTCTAAAGCACGAAATTCAGGTTTGCTTTATATTCACTTGCGGGCAGCCTGCTTGCTCAGACCGCGCCTTGGTTTAAGCCAATGGCTGTGAAGTCTTTCGTATTTAAAGAGGAACGCGTCAGCGCGCCAAAAGTCATCTCTTACCCGCCAGTTAATACTCAAAAAGTATGAAATGGACGGATGTATGAAGAAGATAGCGCGAAGGCGAATCTAGAAGTTGATGTTAAGTAAATAATAAATAAATATTTTATTGATTTGTATTGCGCAAATATCAATCCAGGGAAAGAAATTTTCATCTGCGCATAACATTGACTCAACAAAATCCTAAAATCCTAGTACATATTGCAAAAGTCTTATTTACAGATCTTTCCTGAAAATTAGTAAAAATAACAATTTAAAAATAAAAATTAATCTTTAAAATCCTATATACAAATCCTTCTTAATAAAGAGAATAAAAACAATAAATTAGCTGGGAAACGCCTTCTGAAATAAATGACTTTTAAGAGCCAATGTCGGAAAATATCGCGAATCTCAAATCAGTTCCAAAAATTCCAATTTTGGCTGATACCACCCAAACATCCCTTTAGGGGAACTCTTTCAAGAAATGATATTAAGAAATCCCCAAGCGCTTTACATTTTGAGAATTTTAGAAAAGTTCGAAAATTCGCAAAAAATACATTTTTTAATTCAGAAAATGGGTGCAAATTTCAACAGATTTCAACGAAACAGTACAAGCGCGCAAAAGCTCCTATTGACTTGATATTGCTCATATATTTAGCAGACATCCAGAGCTTTAAGACCGCGTAAAGAGGTTTTGCAAAATTACTATTTTAATATAGTTTCTGGCTTTTATTGTGTGCGCTCTGATTGTGTGTTGCTTTGGCCGTCAAAAAAACGCCCAACTTCAACCGTCAAAAGTCGATCCTGGTATGTCACAAATTGAAAAAAATACTATACCAAACGAAAAACCTGTTATTCTTTTAATTACACCTGAAGTTTTAGCTCTGCGAATTTAAACGCTTGCGAGAAATAAAATTTTAACTTGTGCCCCCCAAGTCGCCTGTCCGCGACAAGAACGGGAATGTAAACAAAGGAAACATATGCAAATCGAGGAGAAAATCACACGGAAGTTATAGCTAGCACATCAAAGGGCAAAAAATTGATGAAAATTCTGTTATCTAATCAATTATTGGTACCTGGGAAGCTACTAAAGCGTAATTGTTCATCGAATAATCTAAAACAAGGAAAAAAATAAAAAAGAGTGATGGGCCAAATGCAATTGCTCACAAATTTTGATCGGGTAAATTCCCGGTACTGAAGTAACAGGCGTTCGGTCTATCAATCATTTCTGTCAACTTCAAAACCGCATTGGCCAAACTATGTCAAGAAAAAAAAGTTACTTAGATAAAAATGAACTATGAAATCCAAGTCAAAACTATTGTAAATCTGGACCTCTCAACAAAATGGAATTACAGACCACAAACAAACACTAAGCGGACCGTAATAATTGTTTCCCAAATAAAAGAGATTGTTCGTGCCCAAAGCCAAAAGGCTTTAAGAAGGGCCGTCGATAAAATCCGGAACATGGAACATCCCGGAACATTCCGGAACATTCCGGAACATCCCGGAACATGAAAAAATTAAAATATTTTTTATGAAAAAATGATTAATTAACTAAATAATAATAATAATAATAATAATAATAATAATAAATAATAAAAGGAACAATAGATAGAAAACAATTTTTGCAAAAATTTATAATAACAAAATAAATAACATAACATAAAAACGAAAAATAAAGAAACACACCAAGAAAGAAAGAAAAAGAAACTGGTATCATCTCCGAGTACGAGAAAACAATATTTTGTTGCAATGAATTTTCTGCAGTGGGCGAGTAAGGGTCCATTCAAATGACAGTCCCCAGTCATCCTACTCACCCTGGTCACCCTAATGAGTGAAGGCTTGCTTCTTAATTCAAAATATATTAAAATGGGTCGCGAGGAGAGGGTTTTCAGGCTTTCGTCACACAGCCACCTCTTGTAAAGGTTTGCCATGTGGTTTAACGGTTATCCATTTACGGCTTTGCGACCGAAAGAAGAGCTTAGGGGCTCGTCGCTTTGGACTTGGATAATTAAATTAAAGATTCAAATTCACCGTGAATAGTTGCAGTGGCAGTTATCAGTTAGCCTGAATTTTAGCCGTCTCCCCGCAAACTCCTCCTGCGACTAGAGGAGACGTCTGAAATATCATGCTGACTGTAAACAGTATAGAAACTACTACGAATGTGAGTATTGTCCACTAAAATCCAAAGACAGGAGCCCCTATACTCTTCTTAAGTTCACAGAGCCGCCTAGTCTGTAAGTAATTCATGTTCAAAGAAATCAAAGCACCTCAAGTAAGCAAATGTCGGTTATAAGTAAGGAGACTATATGTTGGCTTGAAATGAGCTACTTACCGACTTGGCTTGACATGAAATACTGCATCGACATTTCAGACCATTGCATAACCGTAAATGGATAACCGCCAAATAATTAACTCACGGCAAACAATTACAAGAGGTAACTGTGTGAGGAAAGCTTAAAAAAGCCCCCTCCTCGCGACCCATTTTAATATATTTTGAATTTAGAAGCAAACCTTCACTCGTTACTGTCATTTGCATGAACCCTCACTCGCCCAACAAATTTTAATTTGTTGCGACAAAATATTGTTTTCTCATACTCACAGAGGAAATCAGTTTCTTTTTCTTGATTAATTGATTATTTTTCGTTTTTCTTTTGTTATTTTACGTTATTATTAATTTTTACAAAAATTATTTTAAAAATATTATTATTATTTTATTATATTTTTTTTCATAAAAATTATTTTTATTTTTTCATGTTCCGGGGTGTTCCGGGATATTCCGGAATGTTCCGGAATGTTCCGTGTTCCGGGTTTTATCGACGGCCTTTTAGATGCAAGTATTTCAAAGCAAACATTTACAATAATGGTGAACACACCTTCCTGAAGGGTCCTCAACAGACATCCACCTTTAAGCTTTGAGATTACGAAACACGAATATTGGTTTTCGACGTTCGTCCAGGATTTGTAGAAACTACTGTAATACCCTCCACCCAGTCACAGTGTTAGAAAGTGTTCATATCTTTCTCGTGATGTAAGGCTCTTAAGGTTACCTGAATAAAATGACCTTAAACTAGCGACTAACTGAAAATTGTAATCTGTAGTATACGTCCGTAAAAAGATTTAGGCGCCAAATGTTGGTTCTCCTAACTTGGTGTCAAGTTACGTGTATGGTGATTTGAATAAATTACTCTGCAGCCGCTCACGCAATCTTTCCCGTGTACACGTAATCACCTAATTCTGTACAGTATGTCGAAATCTAAAAAGAACTGCCTTGCATAATCGACACATGGTATAACCTAAAGCGTTTATAACGAACGTGTGTGGAAAGAAAAAAATGTTGTGTACTTTTTCGACTCTTGTTGATGGAAATTTTAAATGCGGTGTTAGCCAGGAATATCCTGGTCAATACGAATGTATACCTCTTGGTAAATGCGAACGAGACATCACGAGACACCTGGAAATGTATGGCCTCAGTGAAGATCCATCGTTGGAAAGTGAAAGGAAACTGCTACTAGCTCGTGTAGGTCAGTAAACGACAAGTGGTTGAATTTTACTTTGTTTTGATGTTCTGTCAGCACCTAACACAATTCTAATTCCGAAGGTTTTTTTCTAATCAGGAATTTTTTCGCCGGATGTGTCTCATGACCTTATAACTATATGTCCCCGTCATCGGGCGGAATATGGTATAAGATGGAGAACAGGGAAAACTATGTGTTCGGTTCCAAGCCCAATGATCGCACATAAGTCAGCAAAAGTAAAAGGAACACGCAGAATAAGCAGTCAACTATCTTCACTTATTTTGAAGGAAACAGGCCAGCTAATTGTTGTTGGATCGCGTAAGTGATTTTTACGTTATGTCTTGTAATTTTACTGAAATTCTTAGGAGAGATTGAACGCTCTGACTCTGTTAGTAACAAACAGCGGCTGGGTAAGGAAGTGATGGAATACAGGGGTGGTTTATTCACCAGCTGGAAGTTCGGCTTTGTTTTTGATTCTCGGCCGCATGACCTTCAACTTCCTGCGCTTGAGCTTTTGCACATTGCATTTGAGTTCTTTATGGAAAACTGATACCAAGTTCAGGAGCCCATAAGAAGAACCCCATCTCTATTAAGCCACCCCTCAGGGGAGTAGGTCCCCCATCTCTATTAAGCCACCCCTAGGGGCCTTAATCGAGGATTTTCTAACATACTATTATTTCACATTAGCTATTTGCTCGACTTGCTTTGGACATCTGACGAGGGAAGAGGAAAAACGTCTAGTGGGCGCTGGAGCAATAAAGAAGGGATCAGAAGGACCTAAGGAAGCTAAAGCTGAAGAGGAGAAGTTAGAAGGATCTATGGAAAGTGGGGATGAAGTAAAGAATTTAGAAGGACTCTTGGAAACTGGTGATACAAGGCTGGTATGTTGATAAGCCTATAAAATAGGTTATTTACTCAAAATATTTCTCCGTTATTGATTGGCTCAAACCCCCCCCGCCCCTAACCCCCACCCAACCTCCCCCCCTATTCTTTGTAAACAGCAAACATTGACGACGATTGTGATATCTTGAAAAAGATGTCAATATCACAGGAAAGACGCCAGAAAAAGAAAGGTCAATTGAGAATTACTGGGGTCGAGTCGAGGTTGCCACTAAGCGTAAGCCAGTTCCTGTAACGCATGAAGCACCAAAAGAAATGATTTTAGGCAGACCGAGGAAGGTGAATTCGGCCGAGGCTGAAAGGCTGAACTTCAACCCAATCAAACTTAAAGAAGCAAAAAGCTGTGAATAAAGTGCCATCAAACGAGCAAATTGTTCACCTGCGTCTTCGATGCGGTTTTTTTTTTTGTCAAACTGTATTATCCTCTTATCCTTACAAAATCGAAAAATGCGGCAAACCGGTTTAAACTGTAATGGGAATTAAAAGGATTCTCTAATTTTTTATTTATTTTAAACTGTGTAGGAAACTGAGGAGGCGACATCTGCAGACAGTGATGTCTCTAGTGCTGTCCTTGGTGCATTAAGCAAGTTGGAAATGGCCGATGAGACCTTTTTAAGCCCTGAAACCAGGAGCACAACGTCTACTCAAAGCGATGAAATTGTTCCCTCCCAAGCAACAGCCGCAGAAATGCAGCGTAGCCTTCTGAATGAGTTCTTGGTGGCTTGGAATATACCGCCGCTTCAAAGAAAATGGTTGGACTTTAGCGGTTGCAGTGAATCCACTAAACAAAGGTATACAAGAAGATCAAGCGACATCGTAGCTGCAGTGCTAAAAACAATTTCTCCCGAAGATGCTGGCCTTATTTGGAGAGCCATGACATCAACAGCTTCCATGAATAAGTTGCTTGGTATTGAAGATATCTCAAAAGCAGATCAGCGTTACCTAGAAGCCCTAACAGAAGCGTATAATAACGCCGATAGCTGGGATACCCGCCGACAAATCCTTTCTGTAATGACTGGTGTTGCTGGTTTTAAAATTTTAGCCGGGTAGGTACCGGTACTCTATGGCAAATCTGCACCGCCTTCAGTTTGGTCGAGGCGCACCTGTACCTCCTCGGGTGTCAACAAGAATAAAAGTAGATCTAAAACAGTTAGATCATTTTCCGTGCTTTATCACAAGCCCACACTTAGTACAAGATCTTCCGCTCGGACAGAAACAGTTGACTCTTTCGACGGGTCACGTCATTAAAGTCCCCAACGTGATAAGAACCATGATACCTCAACGAATCGTGCGTCAATATACTCAGTACTGTGAAGAGACTGGCTTTAAGCCTTTTAGTCAAAGCACGATGTTGCGCGTTTTGTCTCAATGCAGTGCGTCAGTAAGAAAGTCTCTTCAGGGACTCGATTACTATGCCGCGGATGGTACGCGAGCATTTGATGACCTGATATCACTGGTGCGTAAAATAAATGAAGTGGAAAGTGACATGGATTGGGAAAGACGAATGATCGAGTCGCTCAAAGCTGCTAAGCTTTATCTAAAAGGAGACTACAAGGTATGTTTTAAGCAAACAGAAAAATTTGATGGTTAATGCATTAATAAATTTGGAGTATTGATAAGTATAGGTACATTTCACCTCAGTTCCCGCCTAATCGTTAGTTACCTATAAGATACTGGAGACATCATTGTTTACAAACATTGTAATTTGTAACGAGTGAAACAAAATAGTCTTTTGTTACAAGAACCAAAGCGCTTCTACCCTGGAAGAGACTTTTCTTGCCTGGTTTCCGGTTTCTGTAAAGCCTTAACAGTGAGCCGCATTTTTCTCAAGACTTCGGCCGTCGGCCGACGCCGAGGATTCCCGCAGGCCCTCCGCGCGCGAAAAAAACCCTGGTACCCAGGGTAATGCACTTCTTGTTGGCACATTAATTATATCAATAGGTGAGGTAAGCTTGAGTATCGCTATATCCTCATCCCATGTGGGAAAACGTTTGTGTGAAAAGCGTATAACTTGGGTAGCAAGCACATACAGGCGCAAAAAATGTGAACCGCTGTTGTGGAGTGTAGGTGATCGCCCGAAATAAGTTGATTAAATGAGGCTTATTGCTTTTGCAATGAATTGATTTGTTTGCAGGTGCATTTGGAGAAGGAAGCTAGCATACCAGATCACCGTGTAGCGTTTTCATTGAGCGATGCTAGCGATCCAGACTACCTGGTGCAGTGCCAACACAATAACGAAGATATCTGTGAGCAGTGTGAAGCGCTAAACGAAACTTTAAGGGAAACTGACAGTCGCATTAACTGTTGCCATTTTTCATCTGATGACGAGCGTGAAGAAGCGATTTACATTATGCAGTCATCGAAGCTTGCCATCCGTTCATGGCAGTGCCACATATTACGATCATTTAACCAAGACCATGCGCGACTGGACTTTCTTGACCTTCTTGACAATGAGACAGTACTCATTGTCAACGACTGGGCGATGAAGTTTCTACCACAGAGGTACCGAGAATCGCAGTCTGACTGGTTCGGAAAGCATGGCATATCTTGGCACATTTCCGTGGTCTATAGAAGATCTGACAGTCAGTTACAGTGGCAAGGATATGTTCACATCATCCAGTCATGCAGTCAGGACAGTACCTCTGTGATATCAGTCATGCAGGATGTGCTTCGCTCTATCAAATCCGAGTATCCAAACGTAACGAAGGCCTATTTTCGGCAGGACAACGCTGGATGCTATCATTCGTCCGCAACGATCCTTGCGTGCCCTGTAGTTTCGAGTTCTACAGGAGTCCAGATCAGACGCATTGATTTCAGTGATCCACAAGGCGGTAAGGGAGCTGCAGATCGCCTTGCAGCCACATGTAAGGCTCACGTGCGCATTTTCATCAATGAAGGCCATGATGTCACGAATGCCACTCAATTAAAAGACGCTCTTGTCTCACATGGAGGAATTGATGGCGTCCGCGTAGCGTGTCTGGAAGCAGTCACAACGGCATCACCAATCAGCGAACCAGCGAAGATCCACCATGTCAGTAAACTCAACAACTTTGAGTTTACAGAAGGTGGTATCAAAGCATGGAGGGCATATGACATTGGCAGAGGAAAAGAAATCAAAGCCGATACTTCGACAACAGGTAACGCACAGTCTTGAAGTTTTTGTTTTTGTTGTTTGTATTTGGGACTGCCGACTATTTTAAATTTTCATTAAAAAAACTTAAGGATAGCTAAGAAACCCCTACGTAACCGGGAAGATCAACTCAAAAGCAATAAGAGCAATGGAAAAAATAATACCAATATAGCAATACATACAAAGCTCCTTAAACTGAAACACAATAAAATAATATCTATCTCTACACTGAATTTGTTCGTTTACCCAGTGTCGTTTTGACACTTATAAATTTCCCTATTTACAGAATCCGAAAACAGGTGGCTAGAATCTACATTTTCTCCGGGGAAATTCAAGTCTTTCGGCCATAAAGAGAAAAAGCATGTTGACCACGACGAGTCTCCAAAACAAGAGAGAGATCCAGTGACGTACAGGAGAGTCAGACCAACCATGGTTTATACACTTGCCCCGAGAGTGGATGTACAAGGGTTTTCCAAAGACATTTGGCATTAACGAAACATCTGTCCTCTGAGAAATGCATACGGTCCTTGGAAAAACACACTCTTATGGATCTTGCTAAGCTTGGCTATCAGCAGGTTTTAGAAGAGGGTGTCGGTGTCGTACCAACCTTAAGAACCACCAGCGTCGCAAACAAACAATCCAGAGAACGTTTAACAGAGGGATGGGCGTTGCGACCAGCTAAGAAGGCGTACCGTTTTAGTGAAAAGCAGAAGGCCTATCTCACTGCTAATTCAACATTGGTCAGTCCACTGGACGGAAAGTCGACGCAAGTCTTGTAGCACGTGATATGAGACGTGCCCATGGTTCGAATGGCGAGCGGCTTTTTAAATCAACCGAATTTCTGACCTCTCAGCAGATATCTTCATATTTCTCTCGCCTTTCCGCGACAACTCGCCAACAGACCCTCACCCATGAAGCCGACCTTACCGCCATTGAAGATGAAATAAACTTTTCCACGGCCAGAGACCAAGTGATGGCTACTGTCACACTCCAACATCCCATTGTTTTTGACCAGTACAACATCTGTGCCATGGCAGAAGAAGACACATTAAAGAGCTTGAAGGTTTCGTTGTTTCAGGTGATTTGTCAAGGCCTCAATCTTGACATTCCCGATCTACCAATTCGCCGTAAAGCTCCATACCTGAAGTTGCTCAAAGAAGCCATCAGAAATTGTGGATGCCAAAGCCAAGGCTGAAATTGAGTACTGAATAGGTGACGCTAGTCCGGGGGGGGGGTGGTACTCCTGAAAATTCTTGGTGGGGGTGTGCCGCCCGTTTCTCCTAAATTCTGACCCTACTCAAGACCAAAAAATGTCATTTTCCACACCCGTTTTCAGACGCGACCACTAAAATCCATACCCGTTTTCAGACCTGGCCTTTAGGTTAAAATTATGTTATCATTACTTAGATTAAAGCGTAAACAAAAAAAAATTAAATCCATCTCGAATTCGCATAATTATCTTTCTTTCGTTCTCATTTGGAATTGAAACGATAAAAACTTTCATACACTCCCGTAGTTCCTTCGAAAACCATACCCGATTCCATACCAAACTGGGCAAAGTGTGTACCCATATGGCATATACATACCTATATGGCTTGTATAAGGGAATACCCCCCCCGGGACTAAGTCCTGTCCCCGTTTTTTACTTGGCACCAATCTGTCGGTCGTTTTTTAAGTGATATTTTACGAAAGTAAAGAAAAATAGGTGGAGATCTTAGGCTCGGTTTGGGCCGCTGCTATTGTTAAATTTTTGGGAATTTTGGCGCGTCGATGTGGTAGTCAAAAAGTAGAGAGGTAAGGGAGAGAGATTAGGATACGAAAGATACCGTGGGCTTTGACCGTGGGTCCCGATTTTCTTTCTTTCTAATAGAAACACTCTCAATAACAGGTCAAAAATTTTCTAAGTGTCTTAAAAATGGCAGTGACCGTTTACGAAAGGGACAACTGCTTAGCCGCTCCCTCCTCTCTGAGAAGAGACTTTTTGGGGGAGGAGCGCGGGCTCATTTCCTAAGCAACTGCTGGTAATCGAGCCTACGAAAATCTCAAATACTTTAGTTGTAAGAGACGGACCATTACAAAAGTTATGGAGGTGGAGTATTTTAGAGCCGCATGTCGAAGAATACTTTATCGTTGACATTTCCCTTACTTGAACTTTGTTAGGCCAATGCGGGAGTATTTTTAAGGCTACTCGGCGTGCATGAAGTATTTTTTCAGAATTTTTCCTTGCATACTGGAAAAAACGGGAAATTCTGAATACAAGATGATGTTTTTGTTAATGAAAATTTAAACGGAGATGGCTTGTGTGCTCCAGGAGATTCTGTTAGTTTTAATTGCACAGTCCTTCTTTATTCATTGACAATTGTGCGATGTTTTGCAGGTGACTACCTTAAAAGAAATAACTAAATAATATGTTTTGTATTTCATTTTCAACCTCGTTCCCAGGGTCTTCTCGCTTTCCAATATGGCGGCGGCAGGAGAGAAGACCCTGGCACACAGCAGAAATCACGTGACTGATTTGTCCACGGAGAGTGGAAATTTATTCAAAATGGCGGCCAAGATAAAGAGTGAGAGGATCTGGGTAAGAGGTCTTGAGACTGGTAAAAAACAAACAAAATGGCGGCAAAGGCAAACTCAAAAGAAGCTGAAAATATGAAAGAATACACTTACAAGCCACAGGAATACGGTAGAATGATATAGCGATCTTATTTTCTGTTCAATGACCTTAATTTTTTTTAAGCCTGAACGTTCTGTAGCGTACACGGCACTCGATACCGACCTTTTTCACTGTTCACTTTTTTTGCCCACCCTGAGTGCCAGAGGTTCAGTTTTCTTTTTTCGTGAAAGGGGGAGCTTTTTCTAACCGTGAGCGCAATTTATTTCATCTTAGGAATTTCGAGAACAGACTTAGAAGCCTGGGAATTTTTTGTCATGACGCTCTAAAACCTCTTCCGTTCCGAAATTCAATGAACTAAGCATTAACTTATATAACGGACACTTTAAGCTGATAAGTTATCGTCAGTTTTGTTACAGATCTTCATGAGGTTTTTGACTATTGTTTTTCTGTCTGCACTCATTTTAACTGAACTCTGATATGTAAAAAAACAATTTTTTTTTCTCAAAACAAGAACCAGAGAACACTATTTTGCTAAGACAATTCAAGGAAACTTTGGTTGAAAATTAAACAGTTCCTTTTCAGTTTGGATATTTTGTCACTTGATCTGGTTCAGGTAATAAAATTATTGTCAATCTTCATCTACCTCACAGTTTTTAGACTTTCTTATTGGCTTTGATATCTAATCCTGTTCACAATGCTTCCGGGCAATAGAGTTGGGGGCCTTATTTTATCTAGCAAAGACGCTGATATTAGTTCCCCACACAAAAAAAATGCCAACTGAAAAAGCCCAAGTACAAGAAGGTTGGAGGTCAAGCAGCCAATGATAAAAAACAAATCCGAACTTCCAGTTGCTGAATAAACCATCCTGGATCGGTCCACACAAAGTTTTACAGTTGTCATTGATTGATACAGTCTTTTATTTATTAGTGAAGAATAAGAAAAGGAGGGAAGGTGGGATGGGGGTTAAAAGAGAGGGGGGCTCATTGTTAAAACTTTCTTCCACTGAAAAGGAGGGCTTATTTGAGAGAGTGGGGCCTTAACAGAGGATTTAATATGTTGTTGTTGTTGTTTTTTTTTTGCCTCTCAGATGTAAAAAAAAGCATTAACCCCGCTTTAATAGCTACCACAAAGTGAAGAGTGTTTCCATTGGTTGTAATTAAGCAATCCAAAATGTATTCTTCACTTTGAAATAGATTTTTATTTTTAGAGCAAAAACGTTCTTAATCCCTGACTTTGGTACATTTTACATATTACTTGGGGCTGCACTTTGCCATGACAACTTACAAATTGACTAAAGGCTAGACTCCAGTTTTTCAAAAATTTGATAGTCCTATCTGACTCATGTGCACTGTAAAAGTTCCTATCTCATTTGGAGATAATAATCTTTTAAGTCAAACACGCTTTGCGTGTCAGATGGGCCCTTTCATAGTCTAATTGAGACATAACTTGGTAGTGGTGTGCTGATTATCTATCATAATCTATCATTGATCTGAAACCTAAAGCCAAGTGAGTACTACTTAATATACAAACGTTCAATATTATTGATTGTTGTGGAAAATACACAAAAACATTGTTAACAAATAAGGACATGAATACACCTGTGTTGTCTTTTTGATGGCCTCTTAATGTAGTTTATATGATGTTTAGTTGGTTTAAATATGTGACAGATAAGCTTCTGCTTGCGGGGTAGGTTTTTGTTTTATTCACTTACAAAAGTATTTTCAGTGTTGAAAGTGGTACACAGGGGTCACAAAACTATTATCTACTATAATTGATTATCAGTTTAATAGTTGGGTTAATCTGATTATTTCTGATGATATGATTATGATACAGACACTATGACTAAGACTAACCAACACCTTAAAGTAGACTTTGGAAGTATTTGAGCCAGCACATCTAACAGCTGCATCCTCACAGCCCAACACCTATACAAGCTAAAAGCCTTCCCTTGGCCCTGTGGGGCATTTTCCCAGGTCTTCTTGGTCAATTCATTTCTGTGACTTATCTTAGGCAAACTGGAGGGAAACTGTTTCACTATATTGCTTGGGGCCACGTGACCCGAAAATCATTGGCCATGACTAGGCAACTAAAAGCTCACCATGGTAATGGGGACTCTGGCGCAAAACACTTCAAAAGCCTTGGCATCCCTAAATGAAAAATCCCGGGATCAAGATGCTGCAGGCCTCTTCTGCTCTTGTTTATTCAGTGGATAGTGATATATGCACCCTTTGAAGCAGTTTATTTTTTTAAATCCAAATTTTAGAACTGAATTATAGCTGCTTCATAATCATACCCAGCTGGTTTTGGAATACTACAACGCCAGCCACTATTTCACCTGGTCCACAAACCCCCTTTTCAAGCATATGGTGACAAGAACAACATGCAGTGACAAGAACAACATGCACACTTAGCCTACAGTAACTAGAAGCTCAATTAACAGGTTTTGGTTTGACAGAAAACGTATTTATCTTAGGATCACTGTCACCCCATCTAAGGGAATCTGGAATCTGGGAAATTTTTCTCTTGGAAACTGAAATAAAGGTCAAGTACTCTGGATCCCACTTATAATTGGAATCCAGAATCCAAGTTCCACTGACAAAGAATCCAGAATGCAGTATCCATGGAGCAGAATTGAGAATCCAAGACTGTCCGATTTCCTTGCATGGGCTGATCATTATTTTCAACTTGATAAAATAAAAGACATCATGTGCTTTCATTATTTTATTTTTGCAACTAGAAAGACTAACTAGAAATATGCAAGTTTTTCATTTCTGAGAAAAGGAAACAGTTTATTTTCCCAATGTCTCTGTATTTAGCTGTATTTTACTGCCTATGAAATGAGCAAATAATAATAAATTATCATTATTGTGACACTAAAAACTGAATAAATGAAAAGTCAGGATTAAAAATATCGAAGGATAGCGGCAATATGTTTGGCTTCAATTTCTAGTTTTGTTTCGACATCTGCCTCTCTCGCTCCTCATGCCCCTTCAAAATCACAGTGAAAAAAATTAAAAGAAGGCCAGGTTAGGTCCATGCATGTTACGATCAAATGAAAAAAAAAATGCTTCACTGGACAAAAAACTGCTGAGACAAACCACAGATTCAGATTATGCACGATTTCCGTATAACCCCATACATTAATAATATTATGCATACAGCTATTGTTCAAAGAAAACAAAAGGCAGTTTGCAAACGGACAGCTAAATTTATTGATAAGCTGAAGCCTTGCAAGTATTCTTTGACAAATCGGGAATTAAAGAAACAAATCTTTAGTAATTTAGAACACACAAACCAAATAGAACGAGCAACAGAAATACTTCTACGCCTCATAATATTCCCTGCGATTACCATTTCAGATATCACTATCTTCGAATCTTTGCCTTCCAACGGTACAGTCACAGTTTTCCGAACAATCAGACCTGAATTCTGTCCACCTTTTTGGTCTCAAACACTGAAGAAAGCACTTCTAAGCCTCTACGAAGCCCTCAAATGTTAACCATCTTGGAAGGAATAAACCAATGAGAGCGCACGTATGAACGCACCATGGAATGCACCAATCAGCGATCGTTTTAGTTCGCTGTGTGCCAGGGTCTTCTCTCCTGCCGCCGCCATATTGGAAAGCGAGAAGACCCTGGGAACGAGGTTGTTTCATTTTCACAAACCGTGTACCGCAAAGCACGTGACTTGAAAAATGTGACAGGTAACACAACACCAAAAAAACGAGATGAATTGGCTTCTTCGTTTTCTGTGTTTATGGGAGGATTATTAACTCCCTATCTATAGTTCTAGTAAACAAATAAGTTAGTCTTTTTTAATGAAATGTATAAACAAGACGGAGGGTTTTACTCTTCTCCTGTGGAACTTGGAACATGTAACACGACATAAGATCAGTAAGTAAACATTCCTGATATTTACATAATTAAAACTTTGCGATGCGGGAAATCTAATTCTCAAGTTAGCATTATACTTTTTAAAGATTATTGTAATATATGTTTTATTTCGTTGAATCTTGTTTCGGTTTTTTGGACTTAACATTGAGTACGATAGCCAAGGGACGGACCATTTAAAATGGAACTGTCGATGGCCGGCCCGCCTCTGCCATTTTATTTCTTATCTCTTGTAATTTTAAGGGTCACTTATAAAAATAAACTTACAATGGTTCATTTCTATCATACCTCAAAATATCAGTCTACTTTACTGACATTGTTTGCTTGCTCCATGGTACATTTTGAAAGCTTCTTTAGAAGCTTTTTTACCTCCGGAACCATACACACGAGTTGCGATGCATCCGAGGCGATTTCATGACCCTAGCCCTCCAGCCCTTTTATAGCTTTTTTATTATTATTGGACGGATAATTTCGTTTTATTAGTCTCTCAGATAGAAATACCTGTTAAGGTAACAGAATTTTATCAATTTTTTGCGCTTTGAGGGGTAAGTTATAACTTCCGTATGATTTTCTCCTCGATTTGCATATGTTTTCCTTTGTTTACATTCCTGTTCTTGTCGCGGACAGGCGACTTAGGGGGCACAAGTTGAAATTTTATTACTCGCGCGCGTTTAAATTCGCAGAGCTAAAACTTCACGTGTAATTAAAAAAATAACAGGTCTTTCGTTTGGTATAGTAGTTTTTTCAATTTGTGACATACCAGGATCGACTTTTGACGGTTGAAGTTGGGCGTTATTTTGACTGCCAAAACAACACACAATCAGAGCGCACACAATAAAAGCCAGAAACTATATCAAAATAGTTATTTTGCAAAACCTTTTTACGGGGTCTTGAAGCTGTGGATGTCTGCTAAATACGTGAGTAACATCAAGTCAATAGGAGCTTTGGCGCGCTTGTACTGTTTCGTTGAAATATGTTGAAAGTTGCACCCGTTTCCCGAATTAAAAAATGTATTTTTTGCGAATTTTGGAACTTTTCTAAAATTCTCAAAATGTAAAGCGCTTGGAGATTTCTTAATATCGTTTCTTGAAATAGTTCCCCTAAAAGGATGTTTGGGTGGTATCAGCCAAAATTGGAATTTTTGGAACTGATTTGAGATTCTCGATATTTTCCTACATTGGCTCTTAAGAGCCTTCTTGAAAGCATTAACTGAAGATATATTTCTAATAAAAAGAGGAAGATCGTTCCATAATTTAGGGGCAGCCATATAAAAAGATCGATCACCAAGCGTGGAAAGAGACTTGCATGGTGGAATGTTAAGAAGTTTGCCGTTATTTGATCTAAGATAGTACCTACCCCCTGTGTCTTTCGGTGATACAAGTTCGGAAATGTAAGTCGGAGCAAGTTTATGAATGGCCTTAAAAGTTAACAATAAAATTTTAAAAACGATTCGATATGCTACGGGTAACCAGTGTAGGGCTCTGAGCAATGGTGTAATATGACAAAATTTACTTTCGTGAAATACAAGACGTGCAGCAGAGTTCTGGACTCTTTGCAGTTTTTGAATCTGATACGCTTGTAAGCCATATAAGAGGCTATTGCAATAGTCAAGGCGGCTAGAAATAAAGGCATGTATCAGAGTTTCAGTACATTCTTTGCTGAGATATTTCCTTATCCTCCTGATATTGTACAAATAATAGAATGCTGCAGAGCTTGTTTTCGTTATGTGATCGCCCATTGATAGGTTAGAATATAACCACACACCCAGGTTCCGAACGGGAGATTGTGGAGCAATGTCAGAGTGTTCAACAGTTATGCCATCAATTGTGATCTAGGAAGGGATCTAAATAGTACGTAGCTGCTGTTAAAGTGGGTGGCAGAATTTTTCTCCTTGCGCTTTTCTCAGGACAGCAATCGGTCAATTTTGCAATTCTTGACTCTCCGTTATCAATAGAAAGGGGGTGGATGTTCTACTGTTAGCTCTCTATCAATCTGCTTCCAGGCTGTCCAAATACTTTATTCAACATTCCATGGCCAATATCACAGGAATACTCGATTTTTGTTATTGGTTTTTATTTTCTTTTTCGCCACCTGGCAGGCCTGTCATTGGCTTTCAATAACTGCATAAACTGTTTGAACTGTTGTTTTGTAAAGCAAGCATAGCTAACAGTATGGTAGCACTGTAGTTTTATTTCGCCATTTCTATTTTTTCTCAACAGACCAATACTTATTTCTCGGCGGCGGCAAAGAATTTCGTAGAATGTTCAGAAGCCCACCACTTCACGCCGCTGAAGTGAAATGCATACGTTTCTGGTTCACAAGTAGAGGGAAGTATTACAAAAGATCTCTGCAACTGGTCGTTAACTCCTCGGACACCAATTACTCATCAGTTATTTGGTCCATAAACGAAGAAAATCAGGAATGGACGTATATCCAGCTTCCTTTACATGAAAACGTTGGTGAAGTGTTCCAGGTAATAAATGAGAACAGCAAGAGTAGTGCTCATTTCTTGAACTTACATCAACGCTATTCGCCTACCAGCTTGAAAAACGTTCAGTTAAAGAAAGTGAGACAGTGAGACAGTTTGCTGTAGTTGTAGGACCTAAAACGTCCTTGAAAGAATCATCCAACTTAAGGGGGAAATTCTATCCATCTCTGCGATCGTGGCAGAAGGCGAACCACAGGGCCAAGACCATATCTTTTCTGGCATTCTTTTTTTTTTTTTTTGAAACTACCATGCCCGAAAAAGGGTGAATTGAACTCCTAACATATTCTGAGAGAGATACTGGCATCAACTTTGAATAACTTAGAAAAAACAATGGGAAACGAGAGTCTGTGGGGGGCTGTCTGGTATGTACAGTCAATCCCTTGGGAGTGGCACTGAGTGTCCGTCTTGGAAACGTTCCAAAAAATACAACAGAACAACGGCAGGGATCAGTTCTAGCTATCCATTGTAGGGACGTGTACATCTTATATTAAGTGAGAGTTAACTGTATCTCAAGCGCATACAATAGATGACGATGTGAATGCTTAGACGTACACTTGTAAATTGTTTTCTAGACAATTAGCAATTCCAATAGAAATAATTTGGAACTTTAGAAAGTTTTTGTTTTCATCAGTGTTTATTTATTTATTTTATTTACAGGTGATTTTTGTTGGATTGAAGCAACAAAGTCAACCAACTTTAAGTATCGATGACATTTCCTTTTCTAATGAAGTCTGTGCTGAAATAGCATGTAAGTAACCTAAATATCAAAAGTATCTTTGCTTGACGAGTCATGTACTGTTTGAATTGAGATAAATCGACTCATCTACTGTCTGAATAAACAAGTCTACTTTACTTGCAGCCTCCATAAATTGTCACAACTATGTAATTTTGAACGAAGCCAATCGATCAGTGAAATACTCTCAAAGTGCAGATATGTGTGATGACGACCTTGACTTTAGCCGCTGGTACAGGATTGCTGGTGCAGCTGGTAATCAAATCCCAGAGAGGAAAGTTTCTTCTCGACGTTGTGGTGCGAGATATCCTGGATGGATGAATGGAAGTCATCCCTCTATGGAAGAAAAAGTTGTTTCGCTTAATGTTTGCTTTGTCTTGGGGGACCGCCCCTGTCGTTGGAAAGTCCCGATAAAAGTTCAAAACTGTGGCGATTTTTACGTATACAAACTGACTGCTCCTACGTATTGCAATCAACGATACTGTGGGTATACAGCGAAAGGTTTGTTAATTAAAATTATTTTGACTACGCATATTATGGTTTTTAAAGGCCGAATGAGTGTAGTATTTGTTGGACTAATAAGTTTACGATCATTTTTTACCATTTTGCTATCTCCTCAATAATTAATTGGGACCATAGGCCACCGTAAATGTAATTTCCTCCTCTGATGCTTCTGCTACGAAAGTTCCGGCATTATTATGCACTGAAGTAGTGTCACCACAGGGAAAATCCTTACCATATTCTCAAGAAAGGAGATAAAATAATAGAAACCAATTTAAAATAATCTAAGAGGTAGTTTAAAAAAAAAAAAACTTAGTTCCTGATGCTGGCTTCTGTGTGAGAAAGCAGGAATGATTTGATATGTCTAGTATAAAAGACCAATCTGTCCACGCCGCTAAATCCGGCGCTCCCATTTAAGATCGGCAGGAAAAGACAATTTTTTTAAGAACATGTCATCTCAAGAACAGCAAAAAAATCATTCATTCGACAATCCGAGTGATCAATCCTGAAGTAACAAACACGGATATAAGACCATAGGAAGATTTAGTGAGGATCTACGGCATCGACACATGATACATGAAAGTCATTTTTTGGGTCTTGATCTAGTGCCATTTTTCCTTTTCGCAGGTCAACCCATGTAAGCATTTGGGTGCGGTGATCGTTCTCACGAGTACAAGGCCAAGGCCTTGAAGTGTTCATTGTAGCGTGTGCACACGTTCCTTGTATTTCTCAGCCATGTTATTCACAAGTCACCGCTTTGAAGATCCATAATTCCCTACTGCACACATCCACCTCAGATTATCGCAAAAGGAATAGGAATTTTTCAGACTCCCTTCTTACAATATGATTGCTCTCATTAAGCACACTTTATATGTTGCACAGGAGACGAAATAAGGAATGACCAATCTGAGGAATGGTGGGGATGGGTAAATGAAAATCAGAGCAGAGCACAATGGAAGCTGAAAAGCGCTGAAGAGATGAGAAGACTTGACAAAGATATCAGTTACCTTGATAACAATCACACTAAAGAACAAGGTAAAAATAAAGCTCGGCAAACCTTAATCACCAAATCAAATCGTGAGACAATATGTATTGTTATATTCCTAGAATTTCACTCAACTAAACAGGGACTGCCATTGGTTCATTCTTGGTCACGTGGCCTTGACTAAAATCAAATGTATCCCGATCGTGATACATTAAACAATGTATCCCGCTCGGGATACATTGCAGCACGTGATCAAAGCATGGTGGAAAGTGGCGTGACCGAAGGAGGGAAAAACACCGCCAGGTTCTGCCAGTTTTCTTTTTCGTGAATGAACACAACAACACAATCACGAAGCCTCAAGCTAAAAAGCAACGATTTTTAAAGTTATCCCAGAAGTTCCCAGAAGAAAAACAGCAGCTAGTGGAGGAAAAATATGCAGATGATATAAGGAAAGTACTTTTGTTTGTAAATCATTCGTTCAGTGGTTTTGAGAATTAAATTTGTTTGTCATAAGTACCGAGTCGACTGTTTTGGTTCGTTTTCGTTCGCTCCGGTTATTCTTTTGTTGCTGTTGAAGTGAAAGTCTAGAAATATAACAAAACACTTAATGTCAGATCCCTCGGGAAACCAGTTACTTTTGTTTTCCCTCGAGTCCTGATGTTTCCCTCGACTTCGTCTCGGGAAACATCAGGACTCTCGGGAAAACAAAACTAACTGTTTCCCTTGGGATCTGACATTAAGTGTATAATATGAAGCGTCTAAACTACTGTGTTTCCGAATGGTATCTAGAGGAAAATCGGAAATGAAAATCGCATAGGGTTCTCGAAGTTGTCAGGTGCTTGAGTGGTTCAAAACTGAACAAAATGTATTCAATTTCATACTTGTTTTGTCTTCTCTTTCAAGTTTACATTTAACTTCTTTTTTTATTATTTTTAGGAGGCCAAGAGCCAAAATTCGAATGCCTTTTTCGATTCGAAAACATAGTTCAAGTGGCGGTTACAAACCCTTCTCCTTTGGCTGCAATGTCTTTTTGCTTATGGGTAGCGAGCAGGTCTGAACTGCATATCGAATATAACGTCTCCTCAGACAAACAGCAGTATCTTGCCTTTGGGTTAATCAGCCATCACAGAGTTGAGTTGATCTTTATGGAGAAAACCATGCGGTAAGTATTATTGCTATTTGCATTTGTAGTTGTTGTTGTTGTTGCTGTTTTCTGTAAGCTCGTAGCTTTATCCAGTAATGATCTACCGGACTAATAGACGGAGCACAATGGGTAAGAAAATTTGATAAACTATCCATCCGAGAAAATTTGGTTATGACGTAGCGCGCGAACGACGGTCCGTACACCCACTACATGTAAGCCGATGCCAAATGTCAGGTTGTTATGGCAGGAAAGCGTATGACCACCCGCGTGTTGTGACGCAGACACAACTAAAGAATCAATAAAGACGAAAACAGAAAGCGGAAAATGTTTCTGTATCCGTGTTTTTTTTTTTAAGTATTAAGCTTAGATTAATTATCATGTCCACAAATTTGGAATATAGAGAAAGAGGAAGACAGAGAAAAGGAGAAAGTAGGGCGACAGGCCAGCCAAGCTCAACGAGAAAAGGAGCTAGAGCGAGAGGGAAAAAAACAAAAGGAGACATTTTCTGTTGGAGGAACGAAATGAAATTTTGAAGCGGCGGGATGCTAGCAGCCACTAGGGTGAAAATGAGTGACAGTGAAAAAAGAGTGAACAAGAACACGTCCGACATTCCTTCCATAAAACGTGTAACTATGAAGTTTCTGGAAGCTTCACGTAACAGTCGTGCAAAACGACGGCAAAAAAATGTACAAAAAAGTGTGCTGCACGTGCAAAGTTGCTTTTTTAATTAGACCTAATTGTTGTTTTTTACCGTTTTACCGTTCTCGTTGCCTTCGCCGCTTAGCATTATACGATTCTATATTTTGTTTGAGCAAACTATAAAAATTATAGAGAGCTTCGCTTTTAGCCCTGGCTAAATCTATATATTTTAACATTTAAATCAAGCAATAAACTTGTAATCCACAAATCAGTTAACTTGGGAGATCAATATGACCTTTAAGGGTGGAGCTGGGTGACTTAAGAAAAAAATAATTGCAAATAGTGCAAGAATAAAAAATCTTACATCGAGTTAATAGTTTTATTTGTACACCTAATAAATAGAAATCACCGAGGCCATAGTAGATTATCTCTCTGTCTCAGTAAAGGAAAGACCAAAATGAAAAATTAGGCCGGATTTTTTTTTGTGTGGCAAAAGTACTCCTGCATTCGATGTTCACAGACAAATGAAAACAACAATTGGCAAAGCGATACGAAAGAGATCTTGACAACTAAGACAAGAAATAAAATTCAGAGAAACATTTAAGAGGACAACAATTTTTATTCTGGGAGACGCGTGTTGAGAGTGAAGTGTATCTGAAAATCCTTATAGTCAAGAATAAAACCTTGCAGATTTAAGCCTTAAGTTTTAAGCCGCCTTCGCAGTGTTCAAGATGAACTCCAGGCAAGAATATCGCTGAAGGCTGTCTTTCTACAAACAATAGGATAACTAAACTATTTTTCAGAACGCTGTTTTTTTTCTAGTTGCGGTCAGAAAATGTCTAAAGACTTTTTAAGTTCTTTACTAGGTCAGATAAATTGTTTCAATCTCACAAATGTGCGTAAAATGACGGCATAAACTTGAAACAGAACCAAAAACACATCAAATGCAATATAATTATTCAAGCTTACCGGTCGAGATGCAGCTCGGAAACCCATCAGGTAAGACTTTTCGCATAGACCAGCTAGGTGAAGTGAGCTTACTAAGAGTAGCTTATTCTTGAAGACGATGATTTGCGATTTCTTTTTGTCGAGAGGCACATTTCTCAACCACAAACCAATAAACAAGCCAGCCAAGAATAACAAAAGAATGTTGATAGCAGCTGCATTACATTTTGTAAATCCAGTGCGAAATGACAGGTAAAAACATCAAAACATGACACAAAACTCTGTCAGCTTCAGCTATCAGTAAACAAGTCTCGGATACTGCATAAGTTTCCCACTTGAATCCTCTTCGCTAGCTCGCCTGTTAATTCTCACTCTCTGCCTTTCTCTTCTTTCTCTTTGCCGTTGCTCTTCACTTACAAGCAGATCCACTATTGTTTGTAGCCATAACAATTTTTTTCGAAACAGTTTACTAGAAACTGCGCACCACGATCTCAAATCTTTATGCTTAAAATACTTGAAAACAAGTTTCTGAATGCGACGACGTTGGCCACGCCATTCCTTGCATAATTTCCCGCCACGAAAAACGCGGGTTGCACAAATGCATCGCACGATTTATAACCTACTCCTCCGCCCGACGGGCTGACACCTGATTCCCTTCCCTGCCCCGCAAAGAGTGTATTCGAAAGTCTCAAAAACAGCTCAATTAAACTCTCTCTCTCTCTCTCTCTCTCTCTAGAAGAAAAGTAGGGCACTTTTGTAACTCTTTTCACTAATAAAGATAGCTTCAACAATTCTGTTTGCTGCAAATTCTTTCAAGGTCAGAAACGTACTTTAACACGTGTTCCCAATGAATGTTAGTGGTCACCAAATTCTAATTTAATATTTATGAGCTACGCCCCCATATATACCCAGGAGGTTACAAATGCGCCCTATGTTGTGGTAACAGCCAATTAAAGACTAAAAACCCCATTTCTTGGTCAAAATGGAGCTATTACTTTACCATTTATACGCCACATGATTCTCTTGATTACCACATTACTTGAAATTTGAGTTATAAAAGCTAGAAAAAATCTGCCGTGTAAGTATATGACTCTTCATGCCGATGACAAGAATCAAAGATCGCAAAAAGGCCATTTTTTGTTTTGCAAGTTTGAAGAATCAATTTCATCAGTTATACTTGACTAAACTAACTCAAACTGAAGTATGAGGAAGAACAATCATTAGGCAATATATCAACGGAGAAAGTAAGGAGAAAATGCGCTCTTTCATTTTTCAATAAATTTTTAAAGTTATCCATGTGCGAAAAACGGCAACGTTACAAAAGTTCCTTATTTGCTAGATGTTCCAACGCTGTTAATGGGATATTTTTTTTGTGAGATAATAAACAATATTGTTGTCAAATTAAAGGCTATCAAGACAGCAACAAGTGATGTAAAACACTCGTCCATTCGTTTTAAGGGAATGGAGTTACAGCTACGGAAATTGTTTGAAACACAAACGCAAGATAAACCTTATGAACTGATGAACTAGTTTGACTTACTACGGGGGTATTTAACAGATATAAATTCATCAGTTGTATCCTTATCAACATGAAGAAATTCGCTCTCACTTGAAGCAATTCGCTCTTACCTTATGGATCACAACACTGCTTTTTTTTCGAAGATTGTGCTTAACAATCGCTCACAGCAATTAATCGCTGGATAACACATTGAAGCACGCTGTTAGTGCGGAACAACTGAACATTCCTTTCTCTGATACAGTGCTTTGAGTCGTCTTTATAGACCACTGATCAACAAAAAGACGTTCACGCCGATTACTTTGCAAAACCGACACAAGAAAAAGTGCAATCTGGTCTGGCCTCATGTTGCCTGTACCACACTACATGTAATATTCGGTACTTCTTATAGTTTGCTCGTCTATATTTATAATTATCTTTAAAATGTCTAGCTCCCTCTACAATGCTTTCTGGCGTAGTAAACTGCATAATTACAGCGTTGGAGGCAAAAACATACAAAGTCCTCTGTTTTTTTTTTTCAGAGAGAATGTTAGTATAGCGCCACACCCATATTTCCCCTGGACCCTCATTTTTAGAAACTGGATTATGTTCGACCTCGCTAACGCTTCACACGGGTAAAAACTGTGATAGTTCAGTGGTCTTAGACTGCTTATTTTTTAGAGTCCAAGAGTGCGCGTTTCATGGCTCGAACTATTTTTTTTTAACCTCAGCCCATAGGTTGTTGTTCATACCCAGTCCGTGGTCCTGTCTTGCGCTTTTATACGCACTCTTCACTCTGAAGTTCTCAGTGCGTTTTTTAAGATACTGGCCGTTTCGCCTATGAAGATATAAAACGCTTAGGTAATAACACACACACACACACACACACACACACACATACACATAAACTAAATAATGAACCAGTCTCCCCATCTGTTATCTACACCATTAAAGCACATTTTGGTACCTTGACGCCCTGCAACAAGAATCATGGGAAGATTACGTAAGGACTCAGTTTATTTTTCCACGTGCAGTGAACTTTCAGACATGACAGAGTTGGCTGCCGTCTCTTCGTCATTGAAGGTAAGCTTCTTCTTTACTTTAAAAAAGCATAATACATATTATGGTATAAAATTTCCGTTCTTATGTTGAAACTTTCTTTGAACAAACGTTCTCAAACCGTGGTGAAGTTAGATAAAAGCCTACATCAGTTTCCAGTTTAAATGCCGACATGCACGAATGTCTGCAAGTTGCGTTCGCTCATAATTTACGTCGACAATAAAGAGCTAACGAGCTAACTGATCACAGGAAATGTAAATTTAAAAGTTTAACGATATTTATTCTTGGAACGGCATGTTTTTTTTCGGTTCTACTAGTCTGCGACGAACACGAGAGCATTTACGATGTTGATGAATGGAAATACCAGGCTAGACAAGGCTATGATTTCGCTTTTTTTGAACAAGTACCTACTCTTACATCAACTAGATCTTTACGAAATGATTTTCGTTTGATAATTTGCAAAACAAATCCGAAACAAATAATGTCAGGAAAAATAAATGTTAACAACAACTAAGCTAACAAGCTAACTGATCACTGGAAATGTAAATTTAAAAGTTTAACAATATTTATTCTTGAAACGGCATGTTTTTTTTTTTCGGTTCTACAAGTCTGCGGCGAACACGAAAGTACTGTTTACGATGTTGATGAATGGAAATACACAGGCTAGACAAGGCTATGATTTCGCTAGTCTTATAGCAACTAGATCTTTACGAAATGATGTTCGTTTGATGATTTGTAAAACAAATCCGAAAAAAAAATGTCACGAAAAATAAATGTTGACAACAAAAAGCTAACGAGCTAACTGATCACAGGAAAATTTGTAAAACAAACCTGAAAAAAAATAATGTGCCGAAAAAATAAATGTTGACCATAGAGAGCTAACGAGCTAACTGATCACAGGAAAAGTAAATTTAAAAGTTTAACGAAAAAACAAATGTGACAAAAATATCAGGATTTGAAGAGAGAATTAGAAGAATGTCGGGTGTGAAAAACATTGACTTGTCACCGGTTGTACTAAGAAACTTAGACAGTTCCTCGAAAAATCGGGGTTTAAGGTTAAGATAACAGACTGCTAGAGAGAAATACGCTATCAGGAAAATTCAGGATTCTGAGGAGGGTGCTTGACTTCTAAATAACTGGAGATTGTTCCAAGGGACCACTGGTTAGTTTTTATGACTCGCTCCCTTTGGATGTATTTCGGCATGAGCTCATAGCTAAATAGCTAATTATAATTATGTAAATACTAATATTTTTATTTTTATTTAGTAATAATGATAATAGCAATAACAATTATAATACAGTTATATTAATAAAGTCAAATTCTTTTGGTAGGTTTTATATTTCACAAGGCCTTTTTTTGTTCTACTAGTGCTTCTTATTTTCATTTTTTTCTTTTTCTTCTTTCAGTCGTCTATTTGCTGGCTAAACGCAGATATGGATCCATTAGACGTAAGTTTTTCTCACAGCGACATACGTGAGTCTCAATACGCAAAGATCTACTTCATTAGATCAAGAGTTGAGACACTGATCCTATAAGCTACAAGTGCGACAAAAACTCATCAATACCAATGCACCACCTTAAATGTCCATGGTGCAGGGTTTCTTATTCTGGCATCCTCTGCACTAAGAATCATTTTTTTTTTATTGATCTATTTTGTGGTGGAAATATAGTTATACGTATCCAGATCTCTTGTCGATGAGGACGAAGATCAAATAAGAAAATTTGATTTTTCTGATCGGTTAAATTCTGAGGGAGTGAGATGAGTGGTTTAAATTGCGCGCGTTAAGACGACGGTCTAAGACGTGAGCAATTCATTCTTCGCAAAGTCTTCAGTTTTGTTCAAAAAATATTTTGCTCAAAATTATAAATAGTTTCCGTGTCAATATAGCTTGTAAAACTCTTTTTATCTTACCTTGAAAAAACGTCTTAGGGAGCGGTCATTAACTATTGGGGGGGAGGGCTGCGATTTTTTGGGCGCTCAGTTAAGGAGGGCTAAAATTTTCTGGGCCCGCATTTAGGGGAGGGTTACAATTTCTGGGCACCTTTGGGCGATGTGCGCATACTATTAAATTGGTTTTGTGCTACTGAAGTATTAAGCACTGCTTGAAATACGATGGCCGTGCAAGTGATATTAATTGCATACTCAAAGCTGAATCGCACGGTTAAAAAGCACTCTGATTGGCTGGAGATGAGCAGTGACTTCAAGCGGAATCGCTTCCAATTTGCTTGACTTTGAAATAGCTCTGAAAACAGCGTACGGTTTTAGTTCGGCTTTGTTGTTTAATCAACGTCATCGTCATGTGATTTTCCTATATTATAATACATCTGAATGGCAGATAATTTCATGAAATCCCTTCTTAAAACGAGCCGCGATCAAAAGTGCACGGATAGTTGATGATATGTTATTATAACTGAAAATGTATTTTTTCATGTTATGACTGGTACTCGATCTGTATTTGTTTTTTTAGCTCACAGTGGTCCAGTTTACACTAATCCTTCTTTTACAAAACTCAGTCAGTCTTAAACAGGAAGAGGAACAGAATGCTTTTCTTTTTCAACAAATGCAACATAGTTTTTTATATGTACAGTATACAAATGTACAGTGAAGATATAACGATCAGTCAATAGGCTGATAGTAAGGAGCGCATTTGTAGTAGGGGCCAGAGCCATCTGAACTGCCACTGTCGTATGCTTCCATTGCAGCAGTGCCCGAGTGAATATCAAAGGCACTGCCTGATTCCTCCTCCTGACATTGTTCAGTGACATCATCATCATCGGCTCCGCCATAACTATTTATTTACCAATTAAGTCTTCATTCTTAACAGAGTATTGGAGACTGCTCTATAATAAAAATTACAACAATGAATACAAAAAAAAAGTTAAACAGTATTAAGATTGAACAGGTATTGCCTAAATGAACACAGCGTCGCTGTCTTTGTTGTCATTGGTGCTACTTCTGTCGTCTTCGTCACTACTTTCATCATCATCACTTATATCACTGCTGCTTTCATTTCCAGAAGAACCCAACATTGATTTCGCGCTGTCATTTGAAAGTTTACACTGTTCATATGTCAAAGCTACCGCCCATTTCTGTTCTCTTTTTCCAAGTTTCTTGACCATGTCTCTAGATAAATCCCCCTTGTCACAAGTCTTTCCCTCCGGCAAATCTGGCGCAACATTCTTGGGGATGTCAATTGTTCTGGCCACGTACCTCTTCTTTTTCCGCTTCGCCTTCTTGAGGGTATTTTGCTTCCTTTTTCTTGATTTTCTTTTCATTGCAGAATGGTTAATGAATGCTTAAATGCTGCTTTGCAGGTTTTTTGGAGCTGACTAAGACTGGTGATTAAAGAGAGTAATTCACTCCTAAAGGCCTGCAATTCGGACAGCTTTTGCTCATCAAAGTCATGCGCAGTTTTATGCCCAGTTAAAACTCTCCCAGATGATTGGATTGTTGTTGTTGTTTTTTTAAGCTTTCCTTTAGTTTGTTTTCTAAAGTTTCAATTGATGTTTCGACCTTTTCTTATGTATAAAATGTTTTGCTCTATATTGTGAATACTAAAACTTTTTTTATTCCAATGAAAAAATTGTCTCAAAGTTACGCTCTTATGGATTCTCACGATGCAACATTTGAATACTCGAAATGCTATTACAGGGAGGGTTACAATTTTTTGGGCACACATTTTTGGAGGCGACCACATGAACAAATAGAATTTAACCATATCTTGCCTTCGTCCTCGTCAACAAGAGATCTGGGCGCCGCGAGATTAATACAATTCTTCTGCGAAGGGTACACGCAGAAGCAAGACCCGCATAAAGTTTCTTCCAAATTAACTTTCTCATTGACGCTAAGAAACTTCTTCCCATCCATATAGTTAATAAATCGTAGTTAACAAAGATTATTTGCTTTTCCTCTTTAGATGAATGAATTTATTGAGCAACTGCATTCCAGCGAGGCTCCGGTAAGCTTTCCTGAAAACTGACGTTGTTGTAAATAGGCTTTATATGTCTTATATAGCTGTTTGCCAATATGTCGTATTTAATTTGTTAAGGAGGAAAGTAGTGATGACAGTGGGAGTTACAAACCAGAAAGTGATGAGAGTAGCTCTTCAGAGGAGGATGAGGAGGATTGTGACCTTGAGGATGAATCACCAGATGTTTTAACAATGGTCAGTATCAGTCATTAATATACAGCATCGACTAGTGGTCAGTGACATAACATTGATCCAAGGCGCATTTTTAAAAATACCTAAACAAATTTGTTCAGATTGAAATATAACTCCGAGTGTGCTTTTTGGTTAAGAATTGTAGGCCGCTTAAAGTCATTCACATTTAACAAGAAGACTGACCAAGCTTGGGCTAACACTTGTAGTTTCGAAAGAATGATTATTACCTTTCTTCACTGATATAGGAAAACAATGCCGAAAACTAAAAAGAGAACAGTTTTCTATTCCCCGTCTAGTTTGAGACATAACCTAAATAAGATCATTAAAAAACAAGTAGCCTCAAAACATAATTATCATAGAGTGATAGCTAATATAATTAAACTGATAAGTGAAAAGACATCTCAGAAAGCAACTATTTCTCATTTTTCGTTTTACTTGTTGTCTAGGACCCAAACCAAGTAACAGTGAAGGAAGAAGAAGGGAAATGTGGTCCTATCGGAAGAAAAACAACCAGGCAAAAAAAACGGTGCCCTCTTCCTTCATGTGATTCGATCGTTTACCATATCCCCCGTCATCTTAAAGAAGTTCATGGTTGGACCAAAGAGCTTTCTCGGACTGCTCTTTCAAGATTTGGTTTAAGGAAGAGCTACGCATACACGGAACCCAGCAAGGTTACAGCAAAGAAAAAGAAACCAAACCCAGAAGTCAAAGTAAAATCGGAGGGCGAAAAAAAGGCTAAAGATTACCACCATTATCGTTACTGCCCAGTCGGTGGGTGTACCTCACTAGTTAAACGCCTTCCTCCTCATTTGAAGAAAGTACACAAGCTAATTCCAGGGTCCAAGGATTACAAGGAGGCCATGTCAAAAGTAAGAGGTCCCATAAGAGATTCACAACGAAGGCCTTATCACGAAAGACCAAGGCGTACAGCTGAATCTTGTGAAACTCCATCAGAGCATCCGTCCTCTTCTTTTGAAGTAGAGGTTATCAGCAGCGAAGAAGAAGAAAAGGACAGTGACAAGTCCGCTAAAAGAACACATCAAGATATGCCCTCTCAGCTTGTCAGTTTTGAAGCCTGGCTACAATCGGCCGATGGTGGGAAGCTGGATCAAAAGACCAGTCGACAACACACCAAGCAAGTCTTCAAGCTCTTGAATGCAATAGATGCAAAGCGTAAATTGTTATCGCTGTTCGATGCCCGCCTCCTAAATGACAGGTTCCTCGAGGGACATGTAAGCAAAGAATACTCTCCCAAAACCGTCCAGTCATACTTAATGAGCCTTCGCCACTTTTTCTCGTTCTCTTTGACGGATGATGCAGATGTACCTATTTCCAAGGAGGCGATCATCTCCCTAAGAGATAAAGTCACACGTTGGTCCTCGTCATATCGGGTACAAAGCTCAAAGCGCCACTGGGAGAAGATGAAAGAGGATTATGAAGCTCTGATAACTCCTGATCAAATCAACGAGTTCGAAAGAAGCAAAGCTGCAAGGGACGCAATTTGCTTATTAGGCCAGCTAAGCGGTGCCCACAACATTGTCATAACTCAAGCTCAGTACACACTGATTCGTGATTTTTTGCTAGTTGAAATATCCATTGACAATGCTAACAGGGCGGGTGTTCTAGCAAACATGACAGTGGAAGAATTCAACAGTTCGACGAAAGAGAATGATGATTATCTGGTTCTTGTAAAGAGGAGTAAGACTTTGTCTACCCATGGCCCAGCCAGGATCGTTTTAAGTCCAAAGTTGAAGAGTTGGATACAAATCTACATCCGGGAGGTGCGTTCACAGGTTGCTGGTTCAACTAATCGGCCAGACGATTCTGTATTTCTTTCATTCTTCGGAGAGCCAATGGTCTCGAGTCAGATCAATAAAGCTATGAAGTCTGTTTGGAAGAAGGCTGACGTGGAGGGTGCGCCCAGTTCTACCCTATTTAGGAAATCGGCCGTCTCCAACATTCACAGCTGCAATGACAGTAATGAAGCACGCGAAAATCTAGCTGACTTGATGGCGCACAATATTTCAACGGCAAAGAAGTACTATCGACTGCAGGAGAAATCGAAGTCTTCGGTTCTCGCCTCCAAACAGCTTCGCCAGGTGATGCGTCAAGATACAGAAGAGAGTTCAAGCAAGACCAATTCAGATAAGATAGAAACGCCCAGAGATCCTATATCGAAATATAACGGTCTGCAGGAAAAGAGCAAATCTTCTGTTGAAGCATCAAAACAGCTGCGCACCGTTATGCGAGCACTAGACCAAACAGACAGACCAGACAGTCCTCCTCTTTCCTCCAACCCACCTGCTTCAGATTCCATAGCTCCTAAAACTTCAAGAACTTCATGGGATGAGGACATGGCACATGCGATCAAGACTCTTTTCAAAGATGAAATTAAAGATAAAGCTATTACTTTGCAAACGGTGAAAACCAAAATTTCTGATCATCTGCAGCTGAAAGAAGAAGACCCCAAAAGAGTCTTGGACAAGGTACGTGCCTTTTGGCGTTTCAGTAAGTCTCCTTCTCCAGAAACTCCATGCCTTCCAACTGAGGTGGAAACACTAGACAAACGTGTGTCAAGGATGCTTCCAGAGGAGAGTGAGACCTCTAGTGATATCATTCCACCGACTGTGTCAAGTAGCGTAAGGAACGTTTTCAAAGCAACCGAACTTCAAGGAATAAAGAACCTTTTTGCTGAAATGTTAGAACATTCAGCGCCAATATCAAAGCCCCAAATTAAGAAGTGCCTGGAAAAGGAAGACTGGGGTCAGGAAATGTTGAAGAAAGTTTCCCTGGACACCGTCGTGAACCGGATAAAATATGAAAGGCGTCTAAGGAGGGCTTCTAAAAAGTGAGGAAAAGCTAGATTGCCGGGGACACCTTAAGCGGAACATCACCATGCATGGCGAATATTTTCATACAACATGCATTCTTGTTTTTTTGACTTGATTTAAAATTACCGTGTAGAAAATTGGTAGCAAATGTATGAAAATTTACAATACCGTCTTAGAAATTGTCCTCCGAAGATTCAGGTTTTAAAGTTTTAAGTTGCTTGTGTTTGAGGTCGAGGAGGTCGATTTGCCTAGACGTCTAGCCGCTTGCTAGATCAAATTGTTCAAAACGTTCGACATGGTTGAATACTACTTTTAGGGTGATTTATATTTTGCGCACATGTGAAACCCATATTTAGGGTGGACTTCCATTGCTGACGGACTGCTGTGTAATTTTCCCTTGCGAACGCACGTAAATTTCACACGCGTAAATGAAATAGAGACAATGTATGAAAGGCCACGCGTAAATTAAACGTGTAAGTTAAGCGATTTTCAACATTTTCGTTTACGCGCGACTTTCCATAAATCGTCTCTATTTTATTTACGCGCGTAAAATTTACGTGCGTTCGCACGGATAAATTACGCAACAGTGGAAATCAACCTTAAGGGTAGATTACCTGACTGTCGCGTAACTTTTACCTGCGTTCGAGCGTAAAGTTTGCTTTCGCAAATAAAGTAGAGGCAATGTATGATAGGTCGCAGGTAAACGTAAAAGTTTAACTTCGCTCAACTCCACGTTTAAGCTCAACACACTAAATCTTGCCTCTAATTATTAACGCGAGTAAAATTTACGTGCATGTACACGCACGTAAAAATTACGCGACAGTTTAAATCCACCCTTACAAAATTAAGTTTTTCAACGTGGAGGACAAGCCACAAAGTTGCTTCTTTGCTAGGCGACAAAAAAGATTACTAGCTGCAATATAAATATGACTTGTTAAAGAGCCATTCAGGATCCTCCGCGGATAAGTCTTGAGCGCCCAGTATTGTTCTAAAATTATTTTAGGGCAAAAATTTCCGGTTTAGCCTGTTAATGTTCTGTTTTAGTTAATGTTAATCATTTTGAAATCGGTGATGACGGTGTCCTTATCAAAACTGTTTAATTCAAAACAGACGTTCTTATTAATAATCTTGTACCCAGATCTCTTGTTGAAGTCGAAGACGAGATCTAGTCAAATCCGATTTGGCACGTGATATGTGACACTGCGATGAAAGTTTACGCGTTACCTCCCATACATTATCTTATTGCACTCGTTATGTCCCATTAAGGTGTCGTTTTTTGCATGGAGCAAAAATTGCCCTCGTTATGTCCCATTAAGGTGTTGTTTTGTTTTGTTTTTTTTTTCTTTTTCTACAGAGGTTATTGGTGAGAGGTTATTTCAGCTCTTTCTTTAACTTCGTTACATTGCCCCGCAACATTTTAAGCTCGCGTTAGTGAGGGATTAATCTATCATTCCAGCTAAATAAAAAAAAAATGAAAACGTTTGGTACTTTAATATATGTACATTGCGTTGTGTTGGAAAGAAATGTTAATCGAGTTGCAGGTTCTGCTTATTCCTCTTCATTAATTTTAGCACCTTAACTTTGTAATGGTTAACTTCATTTTCAAATAAACAATTATGTTAGATTCTTCCAGCTATGTCAACAGCAGTGACTGAATTGCATTTTCTTCTCGTGAGTTTTCCTGTTTGTTACATTATCTAGTCACCCTAAAATACAACCAAATATAGATCACTCAGTAAACAAGTCCCATACCCTCACCCCGGGGGTACTCCCTATAATGGCCCATACGGGGAGGCTCCGCCCGAAAGGGGTACCTTTTTCAAGCTTCAGGCATATGAAAGGGTAGGAATTTCACTAGTTGAAATATATAAAAGGGTAAGGAAGTCTTTATTACTAAAATCATTGAAAGTTACTAGAAAAATTCCTTAGTTACAAAAGTGCCACATTCGTTACAAAAGTTCCCTATAACGTTACAAAAGTTCCCTGTTGTCGTTACAAAAGTGCCCCACTCGTTACAAAAGTTCCCTATAACGTTACAAAAGTTCCCTGTTGTCGTTACAAAAGTGCCCCACTCGTTACAAAAGTTCCCTATAACGTTACAAAAGTTCCCTGTTGTCGTTACAAAAGTGCCCTAGTGACGTTACAAAAGTGCCCTTGGTTACAAAAGTTCCCTATCTTGGTTACAAAAGTTCCCTATCCCGTTACAAAAGTGCCCTTTTTTCGTTACAAAAGTGCCCGTTCTTATGGCTCTCTCTCTCTCTCTCTCTCTCTCTCTCTCTCTCTCTCTCTCTCTCTCTCTCTCTCTCTTTCTCCCTCTCTTTCTCCCTCCCTCCACCTCCCCCTCTCTCCTTCTCTCTATATATGTTTTACACGTATCGAAAATGTCGCTTCCTTTTAAACAGACATTCTGCTTCGTCTATCAACAACGGTCACTGGCATAACCTCTGTATCACGTGGTCGTCACACCAAGGAGACTGGCACGTGTACACAGATGGAGTTTTTGGTGGAGAAGGAACTCTGCCTATTAACATCGCCGACATACCGGGTAAGGACTAATCGTGATGATTACAGCAGTGTGGATTTCAACTTATTCTTGTGTGAATGTGTTTGAGTCCGTGGCCAAAACAGGCATGCAAGAACCTAGTGATCCCCCCGGAAATAAGTCCCCTGCTAGCTTGTAATGAATTCGAGTAATTGTTTTCGATGTTGTGGTACACACCGAAGGAAGGCACACATCAGATTACACCGCTTGGCACAAATTTCCATTTCTTGTATCATTTAATACTCTCTGGCCCCTTTACCGCTCCTAACAAGTTAACACATCGTTGATACTTGGGAATTCACAACGTCTGTGCTTGCGCCAGAAAAAAAAAAACACAGAATGTACACAAATACAATCTGATGTCTCGTGCTTCCCTACAAAGACAAAGAATATATTATGATATTTATAAACGGCAGGAAAAGACATGACATATGATTTGAAATTTAAAAAAGCCAGTAAAGTCAAAAAGTATTTTGATCAGCACCGCCATGTAGCTGGTTCTAAAACGCCTTTTTCAGTCCAAGCCCCTCTAAGACCCCTACAAAGTGTATAAGCTCACGGATTATTAGTGGAAGTTTGAAATAAATTAGCAATTAATGAAAGAGGCTCAGTAGGATATGAAGAAATAAGCAGATCGAGGAGGGTGCCTTTTATCCACCGAGATGGATGACACCTAAGATGAAAAACGACGTCGATGGCTGTAGAGGTTGCAACTTTAGACAGCTCCATCAGATGAAGATCAGGCTAGGTGGCTTACTACAGTTTTCGGATGAATACTATCGACTTTTTCAAATTGGATCAATTTTTGCAACTGAAGGTCTCCACTAGACTTTTAATCACTTCAATAGACCCTATTCACGATACCTGCCATCTTTGAACACGCATAAGGACTGATAGGTTCAAAGCAACGTCACGTCAGGAGGCAAACAAGTGATAAAATCTGCCAATACAAGAAATCGCAGTTGTGTTTGTTTATTTTAGACAACAGAAGATGATGAACTTTTTATCTTAAAGACAATAATGGAAAAGTATGGATGGACGAGATCGCTGTTATTTTTTTAGTGCAGTAGTGACCGTAGATGTCCTCACAGAAAGCCATAATGACGTGAAACTTGTCGAAACTTGATCATGAACTATAGATTTTGCAAATTTAAAATTGCCTCCTCGCTTTGAGACGTATTGTCAAATTTTAACCCCTGTTTTCCCCCTATCTGAAATACCACGTGACATTGCTTTTATCCCATCAATCCTAAAGGGCGTGCAAAGATGTCGGGTATCGTGAATAAGGTCTTATAAGTAAATTATCATTTTATCTTCCAAAAAACATTTTACTGCGTAGTATAACGCGAAATATAGTGACCGAGCACCCAAAATGGGGACAGGAAACTAGACCTTTCAAGGCTTTTTTCTTAAAATCTAGCCGTACGACCCCATCTGAAAATTTTAGGATTTATTTAGTCCGTAGAAATAATTGCTTTTACAGAGAGAGAGAGAGAGAGGAACCTCCTAAGGACAAAATTTTTGCAAAAGCCAAAAATGTGGAATTTTGTCTCTTTTTATAATAAATTAAAACTGACCATAGGATTTGTTTACGGTTTCGTCTTTATGTTCAATGTTCAAAATTTGAGCCCAAGTCGTACGGCTAGGTTTTGAGAAATTTACCGTGCAAATTGTCTTTTTACGAGCTCCATGGACGAAAGCATTGTGCATGCGTCACCCTTCGGGCAAAACGTTGCTCTCGAGGTCGCGCCTCGGGACTGCTTTTGATTCCTATCCGATCCTTGCACGGTCTATTACAGCGTGGAAACCGGCATTTTTTAATTTTCTTTTCTTTATTACTGCAAAGAAAAGTACACATATCAATGAAACAAGTTAGTCTTCCCAAGATCGGCCGCCATTGTTAGCGCTGTTAGCACCTCGTCTTGTTTCACTTTCACCCGTAATTTGATTGACTTCCCTGCTTTTTTTCTCTTCGGGCGAAATTGGGTCCGAGGAAGGTGATATGGGTCTGTCAGTCCTATTCGGAGGCATCAAATTGCAAGGATTAACACGCCAGATGGCGGAGCTCCAAAAAGATCGTCCTCACACTCTGACCATTCCCAGTCCCATCTTGCTGGGAAAACCATTTTCCTCGGTAGTTATGCTGGGCTTGTCATGATATTTTAGCTTTTTAGTAAGTAAGTAAGTCTGTTTAATTTTTCGTATCAATGGCATTTCCTTGCACAATGCTGTAATTCTATCGTTTTAGGCTCTGGGATTCTATCAATTTACTTTAAAGAGACATTTGTAAGTCAGACATCTGAGATACTGGGCAAGATAAGCACGTTTAATCTGTGGAATTATTCTATGTCGAGAGATGAAATCAATCACATGTCTTACGGATGTGGAACAGAGAGTGTGGGTAATGTGCTATCCTGGATGGAGATGCGACAAAATATGACAGAAAAAAGTTGCTACCTACAAAATTCTCCGACTTGTATTGAGCGCTATGGTAAGTTGAGCAAAAAGCAATTTCCACATATCTTGAACAGTTATCACACGAATGCCTTCACACTTTTAAAGAACTGTAAATCGTTTTGCTCTCAAAGACAACGTTTGACTTAAAGGCAAGGAGGGGGGCTAAAAAGAAAATTGGGAAATAAAATGGTTGTCACTGTTCCTTGCCGGCAACGTTTGCCCATACGAATACGTGCAATCCTTTTGCCTTATGTTGAAAATATGAAAAGGTTCATATTAAAGTTAATTTCCTTTTGTTTTGTTTTGTTTTGTTTTGTTTTTTTTTTTCTGCATTGTAGTAGAAGAGAGCTAAGTACACCTGTAGCACCTTCCCATCTCTCGCCGAGCTTCAATAATTTGGAGTTTTTAGATATAAGTCTATTGTTGGTGTATGGAAGTCCATCAAGACGGACTGGATTTAAGTTCTTCCTTGAGCAACGCTTTCCTAGTAAATGAATACGATCATTTTTTATAATCCTTTTTGAAGGCAAATTCAAAAGAGCTAGTATCATATGGAGCCTCACAATGATTTTTCTTGGTCTGCAAGTCTACTAATTATTTATTTGTGTGTCACCTTTGTTCAAGGCCCAAGCCTTGTTTTAGCGGACGACACCAATAATGAAAGCACTGCAGAATTTGTGAGCCCTTGGTTCTCCAAGTCAAAGGAGTCATACGGGAAATGCCTAAGGTTTAAATACAAATTTATTGGACCTGGTGCTTCGTTACTGACGATTTATCAAAAAATGGATTATGGGTTTAAAAGGCAGACAATTTGGACTGAACAAGCCATTGGAATATCAAGCAAAAGCTGGCACTATGGGCAGACCTCTATCAGCGCAATCTCAAATTTTAGGGTAAGAAATACTTAAGAACGAAGACATTGCATTATTTCTATAGTCTTTATTAAAGAAATGCATTCTTGAAAATTGTGAAAGGTGTTCTGCTCCTTTCACCTTAAACAGTAACATTTCTTACGTGTATAATCCCCAAAAAGTGTAAATCAGTCTGTAACTTAATTGCAATATTCTAGTGCAACATCCTTACCCTTAGAAAATAACGAAGTACGTTTGTAACTAATAAACGATGAATGAATGAATGAGATCACATGCATTGCTGACAAGGCAGTTGAAGGTAACAAACTCTCTCCTTGTAAAGAATGTATCTTTTCACCTTTCTCAATGACTCTCTGAGCTATAATAAACAGGAAAATTGTTCTGTCCTTCAGCTGAGCATCGTTTCAAAACATAGTGGAAAACCAGGATACGTTGCTGTGGGAGGAGTTTATATGACGCATGATTACTGTTCAACTAAACCGTTCAGTGCTCAAAAAGGTAGTGTGAGTTTAATCTGCTTTTGCAATTGGATATTCCTTGATCAAGATTCCGCTGGAGCCTCTCAGTAAGTGAGACGTGAAAACCCAATAATGTCTAATATGGTGGCTTAAAGGAGCTGCGTCACGAACTGATTCAGCCAAATTAGGAAATTGCAAAATGCCCGTTAAATTAAGAGAAACAGATGCCACAGATGGGCAAAACTGAAGAAGATTGAAACGGACTGAAATTAGGGTTTTTGAAAACTGTTCAGCCTAACAGTTTTTCAAAGTTGATCCCTGCTGCTTGCAACTTCGAAAATAATGCTCAGGAGACATATTTGTTTGTCTCGGATCTCTGATTTTGTCATTTACATGTAATTTCTTTGCTAACTTCAAGTTCCATAGCGATTGAGGGCGAGTCTTGGAAAAATTAAACAAAATGAACTGGACTGCCGTGACACAGCCCCTTTAACAACAGTTATATTTTTGCTGATAACCGCCGACTCGATGCATGAAAGACTACTTCGAATATTGAACTGTTAATATTATGTTAATATGTTAATATTATGATTCCCAATTTGCCATGTTAATCACATTTTGGCTATCACTGGCAGAAAATATCGTGACGTGCATCGCGAGACTAATCTTGTTTAGCGTGTGGAAGAAGTTTTCATTTGTTCTTTTCATGTAACAGCCTCCAATCAAGTCATAAGGAACAGCAGCGGATATATCACGTCTCCTTATTATCCAGGATATTACACCAATAATATGAAATGCATTTGGCACGTGACTGTTCCTGAGAATCACGTGATTCTACTAGAGTTTCTGTCCTTTGCAATCGAGTCGCATCCAACTTGCGCTAAAGACTATGTGGAAGTGTTTGACGGAGCCAATGACAGATCACATCCTATAGGGAAGTATTGTGGTCACACATTCCCGCAGATCATAGAATCCTCAAGAAACATGTTAACGCTGGTCTTCAAGTCAAATGAGGCTAACATCAGAACAGGGTTCAAGGCATATTATCGTAGTATACTAGGTGAGCTGTGCAGATATCACTCTACTTATAAAGCTAATCATAGCAGTGAAACAGCTCTGATTCGAGTACAGGATGATATCCTCAAAGCCATCGATAGTCATCGCGTTGTTTTGCTTTTGCTATTGGATCTTTCTGCAGCCTTTGATACGGTTGATCATGAAATTCTTCTAGGAAGACTCTCCTCTAGGTTCGGTATCAAAGGAAAAGCCTTGGATTGGCTACGATCTTACCTTACAGACCGTACTCAGCTTGTGAAAGTAGACGACGCTTCATCCACGGTACGACCCCTTCATTGCGGTGTGCCTCAAGGGTTGGTCCTAGGCCCCATGCTTTACTTATTGTATACATCTCCACTGGGTGATATTGTTCGTGAGGATGGCTTGTCGTTTCACTTTTATGCTGATGACTCGCAGCTTTATACATCTTTTGCTTGCAATGACACCTCTAATCTAGTGGCTGCAAAACAACGTCTTGAGAACTGCGTTGCTGATATCAATTTGTGGATGACTGCCAACAAGTTAAAGCTTAACAATGATAAATCAGAAATTCTCTTTCTGCACTCCCGTTTTCGTCATTCGTTGCCCCCTCCTACGATTTCTGTTGGAATGGAAAACATCAGGCCCTCTCAACAGGCTCGCAATCTTGGCGTGATTTTTGACGACACAATGTCAATTTCACCTCATGTTAATACAATAGTTAAGGGTGCCTTCTATCACATACGAAATATTTCTAAAATAAGAAAATACATCAGTAAAAGTACCACAGAAATTCTAATTCACAGTTTCGTGAGCTCGAAGTTGGACGTTTGTAATTCTTCTTTTTGGTGCCCAAAAACGGGACATAGTTAAGTTGCAGTCCGTTCAGAATGTGGCTGCTCGAATCATCGCCGGTCTCAAAAAACGAGATCACATCACCGAGACTCTAAGAGATCTTCACTGGCTTCCTGTTGAGGAGAGAATGGTTTTTAAAATAGATTTAATAACTTTTAAAACATTGAATGGCTCCGGTCCCCGTTATCTTGAAGATATTTCAAAATTTTACCATCAATCAAGGACATCAAGGGATCATTTACGCCTTGAAGAACCCAATTTTAACATGAAAACTTATGGCCAGCGAGCGTTTTCCGTTGGTGCCCCCCGACTATGGAACAAGCTCCCCTTTGAAATTCGAGCTTGTTCTGATGTTAATCTTTTTAAATCTAAGTTTGAAAACGTTTCTTTTTAAAAAGGTATATGACATTTAGTTTCGTCATATTTGTTCTTTTTTTTCTTCCCTTTTTAAGATGTGTATGCTATAAATTTCCCAATATGCACAGCAGGGTTATATGTAAGCTTGTGCTTAATGATATTCTTATGTCCTTTTTTACATTGTAAAGCGCTTAGAACAGCGATGTATAAGCGCTATATAAATTCTATTATTATTATTATTATTATTATTATTATTACTCATGCTGCGTATTAACGTATTTTAAAAAGTAATTCATGAATGAATAAACTATTATTGTAATTACCTTATCATATTTTTCACACGTTATTTTTTTCTAGATACACGGATTTTATATTCCACTAATTAACCGAGAGTGAGGTCATTAAAGGGAAATCTCAGACCGAGGCCTTGATGTATAGAAAAGGTCTGACATCTCCCTGTAAAGACCCACCGGACGAGGTTAACAAGTTATCTGTTATATGGCCTTTATAGCGGAATACTTAAAATGAATACAATAAAAGAAATAAATATTTAAAAAAAAGCACTGGAAATAAGAAAACAAACCACAAGCCGACACAGTTTCTTTGACAATGACAACTTTAGACCTATTGTAGCCTGCAATTAATAAAAACCACTAACTGGCCAGCGTATAACTTAAAAATGCGTCACTTCAATGAGTTGTACACTTGAGCCTGCGACACAGTAATGTGACATTGGCGGCAAATACCGTTTTTTGACAGCTGTTTATTGACCATAACATGGATGCCCACTATCAAGTTAAACACAGAGTGTATGTACCTTGGACACCCACCTAGTAATGCCCGCCGTCAGGCTCCTACGCCCGGTCATTACAAGAAAACCTTGCCTGCTTAGCAACCAATCAGAGGGCGCTTACTATTGTAGCCATATAATAATGAGTGATAATTTGCAGCCTCAAATGGTTGAAGGCCATTACTGTTATCTTAAATGTGATAAGAATATGGCATTATTTCTGAACTCAATTACTCTTTTGCAGGGAAAAGGGCGTCTTGTATTCAAGGTACTGAGTGTTTTTTTTTTTTGCCCAGTTGATTTGACTATGTTTGGGGAATGGCAATTGTTTATTCTGTGTCATGTGTTTATATTAGGTTGCCCCCGTTCTTGCAACTGTTCTAGGCTGTCAGGAAGTTACACCAGGTTTCAAGTAAAAAGCAACTCGTTGTCACTGTTACCAAAGTATTTTCCACAAAACACCGCAGTCATGTAAGTTACTATAGGCGTCTTAAGAATATTTGCAGACTTTATGCCTGTGGGGACAATATGAAACACACAGACATTGTTGAACACGTGTTGAATACCATGAACTTTAAAATCTTACTATAAGGTGCAGTAGTTCACAGATTTTGAAGGTGACGTTCGGTCGACCTACGAGCCACACAACATTTCATTCTTTCTTAAAGCCAAGATATACGTGTACCTAGAAAAAATGAAGGAAAAAAGAAAACTAGATGATTTAAGTTGACTTCGCGATAAGTGGGTTATGTTATTCTTTCAGTGAGACAAATAAAGCACAGCTCTTAAAATACCTTATTTAACTTTTTGTTTCAGTCTATTTCCTCGCAACAGAATCTATCGTATTACAGATGGTGATTTTTCGAACATTCAGCTTTTGGAATATCTGTAAGTTTAAATCAGAATAATCGTTGGTCTTTTTTCAACTGCTTCTGTAGTTTTCCTTAGATAATTTACCTGTCTCTTTATGTTTTTTTTTTCAGGGACGTGAGTAGCAATGTTATTCTACGATTGGACAGATCACCATTCAAAAAGTTAAATTCTTTGAAAACCTTGTAAGTAGTTAAGTGTAGTTGCGGCCTTTGCTTCAATTTTTATGGCATAGCAACGGCGCAGTTACCCTTTCTGGCACAAAAAAAACAGAGATAACAAGAACGCTCTTCCAGCGGTCGCGGTCTCGCTTGCTGGGAGATTAGATCGAGAAATGAGAAGGAGCGATTAATTCTACACGAAACAGGATGTACTCGCTAAAGGTTTTTACTTCCTACTTTATCGACGTCCATACTTTTTATTTGTTTCTGAATTGATTTAGTACGTGTGTTGGTGACGACCAGTAATACGTCTGCGGCCGCAGGCTATACGCGTGTTGAATACACGAAAATTCAAGGGCCTCGATTCCAGAGAAGTTACATCATTGCCACGGATCAAAAAAGCGATTTACGTGGCACTTCATTTCAGTCATCGCCAAAAAAAAAAACCGCATGCTCATCACGACACCCATTGCATACAATGAAAGTTTACAACACCCGATCATCGCAGTTTTGCTGATGAGATTCTTCTTATTTTTTTTTCTCGACCACTCAGTAGTGTTCACTTGTTCCAAAGTAATCAACGCTTTAAAGCGATAGAATTCGTGGACCGACACGTTTCAGAAAAGCTCTAAATAATCTTTCCTAGCCTTTCTTCCCAAAACATGCGTGGCTTTGATTAAGCAACGATTCTTAGTCCCAGTTTACACGGTTTCCACAAGGAACGCCTGACACAATGATCCCCTTTTGCGTCCTAAATATGACGAAAAACGCGTTGCCGATTATGAGTCTCACTGCTTATGCAAGCGAGATTAACAAGTTTAAAACACAATTTCAATAACATCAATGATCTCTTGTTACAGCTTTAACAGTATATGAAAATAAATTAATAACATAAGAAAATAAAAACGCTGGTCTTCCAGCAATGACCTAAGCTTGCAGCACTTTTTAGGTGGAAAAGTATTGTCAAGAAATCGGCCTATATATATAGTTCTAGTGTGATCGCTTTGTTTAATTTCAAACAAATAAATAAATTAACTTTTTGCTTCCCCAGGAGAATAAACAGAAATTTTCTTAAGCAAATATCAAGTGAGAACTTTGAAGGTCTGATCAGTCTTCAATTTCTGTAAGTTTTGGTTCCCTCTCTCGATATAAAGATAGTATTTTATTTATTCTTAAAGTAATAATGCTAAAAAATGAAAATAAGATATGTTTCGTTTGCGAAGAATTACAAGATCCTTACTTCCATTATTTCTCAGAGGAAATTAGTGAAAAATTTGTCACCTCAAGAGCAAACAGCCAAGATTGCAGCAAAGGAATTCATTATGTGTGCAAGGACCAACTGCTACAAGTAATTAATCTGAAGTGACGCGAGAGGTTATCTTAGCTCTTGCATGGATCGACTTTAAGAAGGCGTTTGATAGAGTAGAGCACCATACTCGTGGATAGTATAGAGACCTGGAAGTTCTCAGAGTATCTTATCCTTATCAGCGGTTATTTAAGATGAAGATCTGTAAGCCCTACAGAGAGATCTTTTTAAGTGGACTCATTTATATCACCATTGTTCGTTTTTACCCTACACTCGAACCACTTGGCAGACTACTAAACAGCTTTCCAGGGCTATGAGAACGGATCACAGCACAGAAACTGTCTCACATCTTTTACATTAGTATATGGCCTTCGGTTAGGTATGATAGATTGATAGATAGGTAGGTAGGTAGGTAGGTAGATAGTTAGCTTAATAACCAATACTTTGCAGCCCGAAGGCTGAATTGCGTATTTAAAAATGATCGAACTGATAAAATGTGTATATAAAACTAAGTACAATATAAAAGTATAAAAAATATGATAAAAGAACTATATATATATTATCGATATAGTCTAAGTATTTATATATATATATATATATATATATATATATATATATATATATATATATATATATATATATATATATATATATATATATATATATATATATTATCGATGCAGGATCTAATAATAAAACTGTTCCCAAAGCGATCTGTCTTGCATTTAGGTACGATGAAGTGCCTGTTGCACCTTAGGGCATAACGTGATGGTGCACTAAATTGTATTAACCTGTTCAGACGGTGTTCAGGGTCCTTTATAATGGTGTCAAAAGTGTTACTACACAGTCCCGTGATCAAATCTACAATAGGGAAGGGCAGTCTTGGGCATATTATAGACATTGCCCGCTTCTTTACTCGCACCAACTCGTCCTTTACGTACTTTGGCAAGGCATAAAAAAAGGCAGGTGCTGCGTACGTAAGAACAGAGCGTATACAAGCAGTGTAAAAGGTGGACATATTATGTCGAGGAATTCTTGATCTTTTTAACTGCACTAAAATTATAGACGGTTTGAAGCTTTTCTTGATTACGTCACTAATATGTTCGTTCCACACTTAAGGTTGCTCGATATGGTCAGACCTAGTAGTTTCGCACTAGTCACTCTCTCTAGTTCTTTACCATCTACTACAATGGGCGCAAACTGGGGCTCATTCCTTACAAAAGATATTCTGAGCTCCTTCGCTATTGAGTTAGACTCTATTCTGCATATACCACTCCGCGACCTTATCTGCGATATCCTGGGCAAACTGCGGTTGCCCGTGGCAACGACTTCTTATGCCGTCGTATCGTCAACGTACTTCCATACATTAGCTAAGTTATCAACATCTAAGTCATTTATAAGTACAAGAAACAGCCATTGGCCTAATTTTGTTCCCTGGAGGACCCCGGAGGGCAATGAACCCCACTCTGAGTAACAGCCCTCAGATAATTTGATTCTTTGAGAACGATTAGAAAGGAAATATATGATCCAATTGATAATTCTTGTAGGCAGATTCAACCTGCACAATTTCTCTACGATTATTCTATGATCTATAAGGTCAAACGCTCTTTTTAGTCAAAGAGAATAGCTCTAACTGTGGCGCCGTTGCCATCGGTTTCCTTGGACCAGTTGTGAAGCATGTGTATCAGCGCCTGGGTGGTTGAGGAATTGGGAACAGCTCCATATTGGCTTGGGTCGAGCACATCCAGAACTGCAGGCTTTACGTAATCGAGAATTACGCACTGCTCTGCAACGTTCGATAGACATGGAGTAAGGGAGACAGGCCTGAGCTGCTTCTTCAGCTCTTCAACTGGCTTCACCTTTGGTAGAGGAGACACATCCGCGAACTTCCAGATCTTCGGAAGAGACTGCTCATTCAAAGAGAGATTGATGATTCTGCTGATTGGAAAGGACAAACATTCAGCATACTCCTTGAGCATTCAGTTTGGTATCCCGTCAGGACCACACGCCTTGGAAGGGTTTAACGCAGTCATTAACTTAAAAATACGCATATCCGAAACCTCCGGAAGCTCAGGCGTATCCTCATCGATGCGAAGTTTGGTCAGCGGTTGGGGCAGGCGATATTCTTCTTGCGTTTGCAAGTTCCTTGTTGGTAAGATTTTCAATTCCTTCAATATGAATGTGACTAGAAACGTTCCCCGACTTTAAGTTGAAACCGCGCAAGCGTTTGACCTCCTTCCACCAAACCTTGGGATTCTCCTCCTTCATATGCTCGACATTAGACTTTTAAAATCGGGCCTTGTATGATTTCCTTTCACGATTTACAGCATTTCTGTAGAATTTGTAGAGCATTGATCCCGTGCCGCCATTGTGAAAGGCTTTCTGTCGTTTGAGGATGAGTGATTGAAGGTGATCGTTCATCCATAGGGTGTCAGATGTGTTAACGCGAACTCTCCTAATGGGCATCAGAAGGTCAAGCCCTGTATGCAGCACCTTGTTGAATATGTCAAGCATTTCCTGACAACAGTTGGTAGAGGAGAATAACATTGTCCAATCAATTGCACACAAGTATCTACCTAGCTCAGCTTTCCTACTTTCTCGCTTGTCACACTCGAACAGAAATCTAGATTGTTGACGACAGTTGTCTCTTACTTTGGCCTCCACAGTACAATGATATTATGGTCAGACAGGCCAAGGGATGGAAGCCCTGAGGAGCAACGTAAAAGCAGTCCAGGTTAGTCAGGACATGGTCCAAGATTGCGTCCTTTCTGGTTGGAATTTTCACTGTTTGCTTGAGGCTGAAATGCCTTTCGATTGGCTTCCTGTCAAGACGATTGAAGTCTCCTGCCACAATAAGAGCGCAATCAGGGAAGCCTGACTCGACAAGTTGCAGTGACTGGAACAAGTGTTCTTGCATAAACTCGTTCTCAGCGGCAGACCAATGTTGATGATAAACGCAGCTACTATCAGGAAGGAAAACCCCCGCGGCAGGTGTTTAGGGCGTAGCTGAACCTATAATGCCTCGTGATCGAGGCAGCGCGAAAGAGCGTCCAGTTGTTTGTATCGAATTTTACGTAGGACTGAGTAGCCCGGAATATCAATGATTGAAACAGCGATAAAAGACTGGAGCCATGTTTCAATGATAAAAGCGAGACTAACTTTGTTGCGCAACACGAATTCACACATTTCACTCATCTTTGGTGATGAGTGAGGTATGGTACCCAACAACACGTATACTCAGCATCGTCAAGATTCTAAGCGACGACATAAAGATGAAGTTTAATGATAATGATTAACACGTCTTCCGAAGCCATAACTTAGAATTCTCGGTTTTACGTTCTCCTTGTTGTCATAACAGGTTTAGTTTGCGCATGCCGTGTGTATAAAACCGTCATCGGAAAAAACTAGTTTGGTTTAAAACGATACTGATCTGCTGGTCATTTTTCAATTGAAAGAGTTAATTCTAAAAGCATGCTGTCTTTATAAAATCATTAACGATCAAATTTCATCATAGGTATTACAGCAGCATAGGGGTCCAACACTGACTAGGAATACATTGAACACTGAGGTCTTTGTCGAGTTCCCTATAGCCTCTGTTTCAAATCGAGGCCAAGTGCAAGCCATTCAGATGAAAATAAAACTCATTTTTACAAGAAAGGTTTTGCAATAAGCCTCGTTTTAAAAGAGAGAGGTTTTGAAACTTGAATTAGGACCTACGATATCAACAGTAGAGCGATCTATTTTTTGCCCGCCTAAGTCACTCTTAAGGGCCTAGAAAAAGACATTAGTCGTCTTAATTATTACTTATATTTTGTATTATACCGTTACAGGGACCTTGGAGCAAACATTATCGCTACAATTAAATCCGGAGTATTCCATCATCTTACAAGCTTGAAAGTATTGTAAGGAGTCTTTCCATATCACTCTTTAAAAAGTTGCTTTTACCATCGTATCTGCCAACAGTTCACAGAGAATCAATGTTATTGTTTTGCTTTAAACAGAAGTTTGCGCTCCAACAAGATTGAAAAGATTGAACCAGATGCGTTTCGAGGGTTGGGAAATTTAACATTTCTGTGAGTATATTTTCATGTTTATTCTTTTATCTTCTTTGCAACGATAAGTTTGTTTATCAAATAATATCGCCAAACTAACCGACAAATTGCGAAAAATGAGCTTGTCTGATAACGCAACATCTCTTTGAATTCGTATCATGGTATTAAAATAACCTAGTAGTAGTTGACACTACAGCTGCCTCCGCTCTGTATATTTTCGGTCAATAGTATTCTTGCTCGTTGTGTAGCTATTTGAAATATACCGATTCATTATGAAGATTTTCACAAATAGTCCATACAATGGGTGAGATAAATAAAGGAAACGCAAGGTTTCCATGCACAGTTTTGGTTCGATTTGCACAGCTTTAAATTGATGAAAACATTCTCAGTTTCGAGAATAGTTTATTCTAAACCATAAGAAACGATTTAGTTAGAAGTTGAATTTTTCGCTATTTCCCTTTCACTTTTTACATTCAGTTCATTTTATTTGCCGGAAAGTAAGCCTTAGAAATTAAAAGGACCTTTGATGAATTCACCCTCGTGCATTCTAGTCTTGTTTTAAACTTTATAGCGGAAGGACATCTGTGAGCAGGGAATAAGTCAGCACAGAATTTGATTGTAGGCGAATTCTGTAGTCGTCCATCTTTCTGCTAGTGATAAGTTAGCCGTTGATTCACTCGTCCTGCTTGTTTGGGGCTGAGACTTCTTCCGGTCAAAGAGAGAGAAAGAGTGTCTGGCAAGGTTTCCAATCAAAGTTTTGTGGACTCGTGTCTGGCAAACTCTCCAAGTGTTTATATATACACAGTTATACGCACCTTATAACTTCATCTGCGCTTAACGAGTGTCTTTTGGTCCATAACTTTCAAAACAACTGCTCCTCAGAATGTCACTGATAACATGTAACGCGCAAAAGAATTTCGAAGTACGACTGCACAATAAATGTCACAAAATCTACCTAAGCGGTCCCTTTGGAATTTTCTGTCTTTACGTCATCCTAACCATTTCGTACTTGCGGGCGCAAACAAAAGAAACGTCATCATTACCTACCGATTCCTCGCGGCCCCTGTTCAAGCAAATCGAGATTTTTTTCTGGCATACTGACTGTATATTTCAACTGTAAGTACTTTCTCTAATATACGCGCGAGTTACTAGAGTGCCCCCGCGGGGTTTCGCATTCTGGGCGAAATCCCTGCAGGGACAATTAATTAAAAAGTAAAATAGGTTGAAATTTTACGTGAACTAAGGCCCGTTTCGTGTGGTTACTATATCAGATATCTTCACGACAACAGCATAAAAAGTCTTCGGCGAGTTTTCTTCAGAGGACTTCACTCATTGCACACTCTGTGAGTATCTTGTTTCAATAGTATGCTTTGCTTCTTTAAAATTTAGAACGAAATAAACGCTTGCTTTAGCCCTCAATGGTTAAGCTAACACTTCAATTGACGGATGATTGTTATAGCTTTCTCTTGGTGATTTAAAGACTCCAGAATCTTCTCTGAGTCACCTAGTCTACATTAGTTAATTTAAAAATTGCCATGGAATGCTTCAACATCAAGGGCGGGAAGTGTTTTAAAAGATTTCTGTGTATATCAGACAAACTTTTTTAACAGAGTAAACTGGGTATTTCTGTGCTTTTCATCTCTAGTTTTCTTCAAGGTAACAAGGTGTCAGGATCTGACGTAGATCCAGACGCCTTCAATGACTTAAAAAACCTGAAAACCTTGTGAGTGTTCACTCTGGATATAATTACGTTTTTAGCTAAGAAATGCAAGAGTGATTGTCTTAATCCTTTTTGCAAAAGAACAAATGACGAAAGTATCATTGATTAGAAATAGTTTACACAACTTTCTCATGGCTTTCACCAAAAGCATACCTGTGACACATCAGGAGTTCTTGTGATTTGCTGGTTTTCGCACGGACTGACTGTACTTGCAATAATTAAGACCATATAGCGACCGATATTATAGAGCCAGAAACGGATCAAAACGCATCACTTACCTCTAAAGTTTTAAAGCCAATGTATTTAAATAACTGGTGGATTTACCGATTTTTGTCTAAAGAGTGCGTTAAGGTCAAAAACAAAGTTTCTGAACCGACGAAACACAATTCACTAGACAAGAGACCTTTCCTTTTCGAGGTTACCTTTTTTTTCATTTGTTTGTTGCTACACTTCTCCAGTTTCAAACTGTTACACTTCCTTTATTTATCCATGCTTTTATCTATTTCAGGAAAATGGACCAATTTATTGCCTGCTGCTATGCTATAAAAGCCATTCCAAACCTTATTTGTCAATCAGCTCATAATGCCTTTTCAAGTTGCGAGGACCTGATGAAAAATGACTTACTGCGCATGTGCATTTGGATTCTCGGCACGCTAGCGTTCATTGGCAATGTCGCTGTAATAATCTCCAGAGTAAGAATGAGAGATGACAACAAAGTGCAGTCGTTCATGCTTACTAATTTAGCATGTGCTGACTTGTTAATGGGTGTCTATCTGTTAATCATTGCCATTAAAGACCTTCAGTGGAAAGGCGAATATTTCAAACATGACGTCACATGGAGAAGAGGAGTTGGGTGCCGGATTGCGGGCGCACTTTCGATGCTGTCAAGCGAGATGTCTGTCTTAATTTTGTTAGCCATAACCACTGACAGACTCATATGCGTCGCATTTGCATTCAGATTGCGTCCAATATCATTGAAGTCAGCGCGTAGACTCTGTTTTGTTCTATGGGTTATCGGATTTACTATTTCCGGTATTCCCTTGACAGACATGTCATACTTTTGGGATGAGAAGCGACATATTGGCTTTTTTGGCAGTTCTGCAGTCTGTCTTCCGTTACAATTTTCAAATCATAATGATGCTGGTTGGGAATATGCGACGGCATTTTTTGTCACATTCAATGGTCTTGCATTTTTGTACATACTTACAGCTTATGTTCTCATATTTTTCTCCATCTTAAGCTTAATACAGCGCAGATCTACTGCCAAACACATCGCAAAAACCGAATCCACTAAAGCTACCAGACTATTCATAATTGTTTTGACAGACTTTTTTTGCTGGATGCCGGTAATTTTGCTCAGTGTTTTATCTTTAACTGGTAACTTTGAAGATCCAAAGCACAAGGCTAAGGTGTGGATAGCGGTGTTCGTCCTTCCGATCAATTCGTCCATCAATCCAATCCTGTACACATTTTCCACTGCTGGAGTGAGAAAGAAACTAGTAGCCGCATTAAGAAGGAGAAAAGCTTTACGCTCTGACGCTACTGGTAAGTACTTTCTAACTGAATTTACAACCAGCAAATTCGTTGGTTTTTTTTTCCCCAACTTACTTGTTTAGAGTTGCTTTCATTCCCGGCTCATCTTCGACAGATCCAGTCACAGATCAAAGCGGCGCACCTATTCTCAAACTGACAACAAAGTTAACCAACCCTTTAGTTTTTCGTTACCTTCCTCCGTGGTCAGAGGGATGACGTTATTTAGCAAAGAGACGTTGTAAAATGCGTTTAGAGTAATTCTGTTTTCTATCCTTTGTCTTTCGATTAACTTATCACCGCATACCATTACCTATCAAGTTGGCAACTTCCACCGGAGCAGAGACAACAGAATGGCTGGTGGAACCACGCTGGACACTGAACAACTCTTGTCACCTGACTTCTCGCAGATAAAGCTGCACATCTTAAACAAAGCTGATGGCCTACTCTGCAGCAATGATCTGGTTTGTAAACTATTCTCTTTGAACCTAGCTATAACCGTAAGGTGGTTTGTTTTTGTTCTTCGGTTTGTTTGCTAGACGTCTTTTCAGCCGGATAGTGAAAGTTCAGCATGAGAACAGTTTATTTTCCTAACATTCAATAATCTGATGTATTTATCACATATTATGAAAAGCCCTCAACGGACCTTATTCACTATACCTACCATCCTTTCACACGCATAAAGACTGATGGAATAAAAGCAATTTCACGTGGTTTCCCAGTAGGCAAGCAAGTGAAAAATTTGCCATTACAAGAAGTCGTGGGCCAAGATTTTCCATTATAGACAAAAGAAAATGAGGAACTTTTCATCTTAAAAAAGCTTTAAAAACGATAGTGGCAAATTATGGGTGAAAGAGATCATTGCAATGATCACAAACCCTTACAGTTTAGTTTTCTAACGCCTGATTGACTTTTCCTTTGCCCCAAAATTATGTGTTATGTGTATAAAGGTTTTTTTTCGTTTATCTTCTGTCTCGCGATAGTCATTCGACTCAATTAGCTATTGATCGTGGCGCATTTCCACAGCGTAAAGCGGGTCTTCATTAGGCGATAGTGTCAATTTACTGAGGAGGACTATTAGTACCACCCTGTTTGCTAGTGATCGATGTATCAAGAACCTGACTCCTGGTTGAAAGCGAAACGGGAAGATGCACACATGAGCGATTGAAGCGCATTACAAGGATGTAAGGCTTTCAAGAACACAAACCTCAGGCGTCTCTGAACACGCAAATTAAAGACTACTTGCTAATCTCCTCCGTTCGGTCATTACAGGGAAATCTCAGACCTCGGCCTTGATGTCTTGATCTCGCTATCGTCCGTTCAATACATCAAGGCCTCGGTCTGAGATTTCCCTGTAATGACCGAACGGACGAGGTTAATAAGTTTATTATTATATGGCCTTTTCAATATAGACCTGAGCCTTCGATCAATTAAAACCAACAACTGGTCAGCGGATATCAGTCTTAAAAAAACACGTCACCTCATTGAGTTTTACACTTGAGCCTGCGTGACAGTCAGGTGACACTGGTCAGCGGATACCCCTTTTAACAGCTGTCAATTGACCATATCGTTGATTTCTATAAGGATGTACACTATCAAGTTAAACACAGATTGTATATGCCTTGGACACCTAGCTAATAATGCCCGGTCATTACAAGAAGACAGCCAATCAGAGCGCGCGTGCTATTCTAGACAGATAATAAAGATCGGGTAAATTGCGTGAGACAAACGATAAACAAAAGAAAAACCTTTAAACACAATGAACTTTCATAAATATTCTGGTGATCATGGTTTCATGCGTCTCACAGTTAAAAGTTATGCTTCCTTCGAGAAAACGTCTCGAATGGGACAACCTAAGGTTTATTTTTTGCAGTTTTATCTCATTGGTGAGGAGGAATATAAACGTGAGAACAAGTTGTTATTGAAATGCTTTCTCCCAACAAAGAAAGGTGCATTTGACAATGAATGTAAGATCTTAAAAACGCTGTCCCGTGGAAAGAACAAAAGCGGACTTCCTTTCCTAGAATTGCGAGCAAAAGGTAACATATTTTATTTCAGCGTAATATAAAACATGTCTGTGTTGGCCGTTCTTGCTGTCCTGTTGAAATCCGACAGCTCTAGTATGTTATTTAGGATTTAGTACTTTATTAGTTGAGCTTATTATCACGATCAGGAGAAAATATATCATTACAATAACGTAACGCATATTTTTCACTCTTCTCAGCTGATTTCTTAAACGTAAGTTCCGCAGTAGTAGAACTTCCAACGTCCGGGGAAAATATAAGGTAAGTAAAGACATCTTTTGGCATGTGTCTTTTAGACTCAAGCCAGAAGTGTGGTTGAATTATGTGTATGAAATAAAAGTCAAAGTGAAGCAAACGTATGCGCCGAATCAATATACAATGTATGAAAGGACTAACTGCGATTAATGGACAGAAAAGGCCTCGTAAAATGAGAAATTATTATGCTTGAAGTGTGAAATATTCCTTCAATACAAAACGTTTTTGTTTTCAGTAATTACACACGCAAATAATAAGAAACTCTTCCGTCGTTTGTTGTAAACAATCTCTTAAATGTTGATTTTTGGTTTTAAAAAAACTGGCACGCGAGTAACCGACGCTGTTAGCGGATAAAGTGGAGTCAGCTACATCCTTCAGGCCTTCATGTTAACCATAATTACTTAACAGAGCTGTGTCACCTTTTTTCGGTATTACTTTAAAACATTTAAAACACATTAAACACGTTCTAAAATAAATTGGGATATTCTAAAGTTGTGTTTTTGGGCAGAAATGGAAAAAATGTACTTAAATGTATATTTTTTCCAAAGTCAAATTTACGAATGTCAGGTTTTCGGAAAAATTAATCAAATTTTGTAGGTTTAACATCAACACCATTCTAAAAGGAAATAGCTCCTGTTACAGGTCTCACAGAATTTCCTGCACCCTTCCTATTCATGTAAACATTTATCTGTATTCAAAATTATTCTCTAACACTAAATCTAACTAGGGCAAACTTTTTCAAGTTTACCTCCTTTTTTGAAAAATGACCAAAAAAGCAGCCATGCTTTGTTTTCCGCGTTAAAAAGATTCATTTGATATCTTTATTATATAAAATGTAAGTGAGATTATAAGCCTGCCTCTTACGACACAAAGAGTATACCCAGCCAAGCTTAAATTAGAAAAAAATAGTACCTGTGTTTAGATATGACGACGAACTTGATGGGAATAATTATAGACCAATATCACTTTTGCCTAATTTTAACAGAACTTTTGAAAAGTTAGTTTATTCTAAGATGATCACTTTTGTCCAAGAATATGAATTATTTTATCAGGCCCAGTATGGCTTTCGTAAATCACATTCTACGCAAAACATGCAATAAAAATATCTTATTGGACGGTTTAGTGTGTAGTATCGGCTCTTGTATTTTCTCAAAATACAAAAGCATAACGAGAATGCGTGACAGACCGTGACTCCTTTGCAAGTCCCAGTTTTCGCGCGCTTTATGCAACGTTGTTGCTGATTAGTCAGAAACGAAAACTTGTGAAACTGGTGTAGTCTAGTTTACTCAGTAAGTTTTCTTCCGCCCTTCGAGGCTCTATCTTTCAGACATTTGCTAGAAAAACAGGCTTATAATGGTCTTTCGGTTTTTCTGTAAAACCGCCACTGCAAGAAGATAAACTAAGCAGAGGCAAATTGTGATGAAGATGAAGATGAAAATTCTCCCACAGTTCAAGGAGTTTCAAAGAGCTACTCGAAAACAACCGACCTGAAACCGCATATTCGCCGAGAATAATGCCATCGAAAAGTCTTAGAGAACGTCTTAGAGAACTAGAAGTGAAGACTGTTCAGTTCCTCGGCGGTGATTGTAACTTAAATGACGTTGTTTGTTTCACTGTTTGTCGCCATCACCATCTCTGTTTACACACATTCAGGTCTGTTTTCATCTTCTCTGTGGTATTTTGAGCTTATAACGTTTGTACGTTTGTGACCATGTGTAATAAATGTCGACATTTCATTGTTTTTCAGGCGACTTTGCTCTAAAAACTCGATTTTACTTAAGCTTAACATTTGGCTCCTATACTTTATTTTCTTCGAAAAGCGATGTATTTTCTGACATGTGCGACGATTGTAGAGAGCGGGTCAAACCGGTCTTCTAGAGTGGAAATACCATGAAATATTTGTACTCTACTGACTGAAGTTGAATAATAGCGGAGCACTCGCGCGCGCGAAGCGCGCCCAGCAGAGCACCATGGGTAAGAAAATTTGTTAAATCTATGCATACAAGGAATTTTGGTTCCGCGGAGAAAATCGTCCGTAGGTACGTCCATCCCTTCATGTAAGCCGGATGAAATTTGGTGTTTCAAGCATCCGCGCGTTTCGGCGGTAAATCGCATAGCTTCCCGGCCTTTTAGAGATAAAAAAACAACAACAGAAGCCGATTCTTTCTTTCGACTTAATTTCAATGTCTACATTGACGTGGATAACAGACAAAGAGCTAGAACGAGAGATAAAAACCAAAGGAGACCAATTTCGTCGGAAGAAAAACGTAAAAATTTTATAGCGGCTGTAAGAAAAAGGGGAAATGCTAGCTGCCATTAAGATGAAAATGAGCGGCAGCGAAAAAAAGTGAAGAGGAACACATACAGAATTTCCTCCATAAAACGTGTAACTAGGAAGTTTCTGGAATTTTCACGCTGTAGTCGTGCAAAACAACGGCAAAGAAATATACAAAAAAAAGCGTGTAAAGTTGTTTTTAGCTAATTAGAAAAAAGTGTGCTGCATGTGCAAATTTTTTTTGCTAATTAAACCTACTGATTTTTTTGGCCTGTTTTCGTTGCCTTCGCCCCTTGGCGTTACACGATTTTGTAGTTTGTTTAGTAAACTATAGATATTAACGAGAGCTGCGCTTTTAACCCTGGCTAAATCTATATATTGAAAACTAATATGGATAAAGACTTCTTCTCGTGTGGTTTTTTTATTGATTCAATGTTATTAAACAAATTGGACCATTACGGCTTCCGCGGAGTAATTAGTGATTCTATTTGTTTTATTTAAAAAACAGAATCCAAAAATTATGAACTTAAATGTCATATATCTAACAAGGCTGCAATGACGTGTGGCGTGTCTCAGGGCTCTTTCCTTCGACCTCTCCTATTTTTATTATACGTAAACGACACACAGTACTCCTCGGACAAATCCAGTTTCTACCTTTTTGCTTATGATACAAATATCCTCTATGCTGATAAAAACAAAATCTCTTGAAATTGTTGTAAACTGTGAACTTTGTAAGGTATATAGCTGGCTTACTGGGAACACGTTTATCCTTAACATAAAAAAATCTATGTTATTTTCCGACCTTATCGAAAAAAATTGTGATATATGATAATGAACCTGGCAAACTAGTTAACCTTGAATGCAAAGAGTATGTGAAATACCTTGGGGTGTTAATAGACTGCAGTCTATAAGCTGGAAATATCATATCAGTCGAACACATTGCGGTGAAAATGAGTAGATCAGTTGGTATTATTACGAAACCTAGGCATTTTGTGCCACCAAATACTCTACTGCGCATCCATCAATCCTTACTGTTGCCCTATTATATATTATGGACTAACAGCATGGGGAATTGCGAGTAAATCCTACATGACGAAAATTTTAAACCAAAAACGAGCAGTTAGAGCTGATATTCTACCACTAAATTCTCTTTATTACAAATCCGTCTGTTGTTTAATGCATGACATCGAAAGGTACCCAGTAAGATTTTAAACCTATTCAGCGGTACTACAAGTATTCATTCTTATAACACTCGGTCTTCCTCATCAAATATCTAGGCTAGATATCCAAAAGAGAGCTTTTTCAAGAGTAGGAGCTAAAATTTGGGATGAGATACCAGCATCATTACCGTAAGAGAGCTCCCCAAAAACACTTCAAAACGAAACTCAAAGTCTTTCCTTGTTGATATTCTAAGGAAACATGATGACTGTATAATGATATTTTCCAAGTTACCTGTGGTCTAAAAACATAAAAATAGATAAGTTCCTTCATTCGAACTTACTTAATGAAACTGAACTCACATCGGTATCTTAAATTATGTAAACTAACAAAACTTGGGTAAGTAATCGAGTCCCTCATTGTAATGTTTTAACGTGACTGTTCCGTTCAAAATCAAATCAGCACCATGTGTAAATACAGGTACAGAGCTTTCATATGAATGGTCACATCACAGAGGAATCGTCCGCAGTCTCAAAAGTTAGAGTCACCTTACAAAACTCCATCAAACACTATGGTGGTGAAAGAGTTAAAAGCAAAAAGGGCGCGTTCGATTGACCGTATTCCGAATAGAATGCTTGGAATAAACTTTGAAACTCGCTTATTTTGGCTTTCAAAATCTAAACATCTCGGGGGCATTAATAATTAAGATGAATGAGCATTCTAATGGTCCAAAAAATTGCAGTTGAAGAGATTTGTAAAAAAAAAATGTTGACGAACTGTCTTTATTCCGGAAAACGACAAATCGAACGCATCTTAAAAAGAGGAATGGGCGTTGTATCAGTATGTGGCAGGTAGAGATAAGAAAAGTGGTGTTTACAGATTATACTTTAGGCATGCTCGTCTTTTCTATTCATTTTTAGCGTTCTGTGCTTTTCCTTTGTGGACGGTATCTCGCTCTTGAATTGGACGAAAACAAATGATTCATCAGAAAACCTGGATCTGGCTTACCAATTTGCTTATGACGTCATCAGCGCTTTGGAGTTCCTTCATGGCAACGGGATTAATCACAATGACATTACACCAGCAAACATTTTGTTAATAAAGAAGCCGGGAGTAAGTACTTTTACACAGTTGCTAGATGAAGGGGCTCTCTAAAACAGTTCAAGACGGCCCGAAATGGCCGGAATACTAGTACCAGTAGGACGACAGAGCGCTGGCCTGCAGAGCGGGCTCTATTCAATACCCAGGATCTTTAAATAACTCAATGCGGAACCTGACTCCTCTCCAGTCGTTCCTTTTTGGATCGCACATGGAGAATGGAACGCGGGAAGGGTGACCGAGGAGAGCTCGAGGAGTGAAGTCCTAACCTCGCTTCTCTCGCTAATATTAATAGGAGACTAGCTGAGAGACGAATGGGAACAAGCCAGGGCCGGAACAAATACGGCTCTGCAAACCGTGGCTAGGCCTCCGCGTGACTGGGATGACCACGTAAATGGTGGTCCCGTCTTCAATTAAGAGAGGTGGAAACAATATTCTCAGTTTGTACTTGTGTGACCCATACATTTAAACTTAATTGAAGTACGTTTTTTTCATACTGATTTACGTGTTGCGGATGGAATTTTTCGTTAGCTAACTGCAGGACCGGTCGCTTTAAAAACAGCAACGGAAACAAAATCAGTTACTTTACAAGTAACCAAATGAAAAAAAGTGACCTATAATTTCTATGTTAGTGGTCACACACTCACAGGTTAACTGAAAAAAAGAGTTCTTATTTGTTCCTTAATAACTTTTAATTATGGTCATTTCCTTCCATCTTATTACAGATGCCACCTTGGAAAGCAATGTTAATAAACTTTGATCGTGCTTCTAAGGAGGCAAGTCATGCGACAGACTTGAAAGCCTTTTGTCATTTGCTGCGATGGATGACTGAACAGTGCATCTCTGAAAACGGGGAGGTAACTTCTCATTTTTTTATGAACTACGAGAACGGGAGACTCCATTTTGGGCCTTAATTTTATACTTAATAGACCTTTGTCACGCGGCAGCCATTTGGTCCCAAGAGATTAAAAACGTTTTGTATTTACACGGCTAGCCTCTCAGTGAGAACGAGACTAGCCGTGCAAATACAAAGTCTTTTTAATCTCCTGGGACCTCCTTATGCATGCTCTGTTGTCCATCCCCTTCCAGCATTTCAACTGCAGCGCCTCCAAAGGCTACAAAATGCATGCGCTGGATTTGTCACAAGAAGGTTCGCAGGAGTGGAGGACGCTGCAAAGTTGAACTGGCTTCCAGTGAATACGAACGTTGAACTAAATATAATTAACTTAGCTCATAAGTCGCTATATGATGAATCGTTTTCTGAATATCTTAAGTTAAATTTACACAAGGTTAGTGCTTATCTTCGATTGCGCCTGTCCTTTCTATTCCGAGAGAATCAGGGACATTTCAGCACTCGGCAGGAACTATTTTTAATAAACTCCCTGTAGCTATTAGAAACATAGCTGAGTACAATTCCTTATGTCGTAGAGTAAAGAGACACCTTTTATGTACTTGTAACGAACCTTAAACAGAAAACACAACTGTAAATATGTATACTCCTATATTTTTTTATTGTATTTTTATTTTTATTAATTTTTTCGATTAATATTGTAGATTTATAGTGTAGATATAGTAGATGAAGAACCTCACTTAGCTGGATACTCGGCAATAAACCATTATTATTATTATTATTATTATTATTATTATTATTATTATTATTAAAATGGCCGCCGCGTGAAGCGTCAGATTGTCAAATTTCAAGTAGTTAGCTAACATCTTGTAGGGTTAAATACCCAAGACAACTATTAGGTTTTGGGTTTCTAATGTCAAATACGTAAAACATCTACAACTAAATCCATCCAACAATACACATTCTCGGATTTTTGTATGCTACATTTCCCTCCAACCTATGGCGTATATATAGAGGGGGTTTTGAGTTTCTCAGGACCTCTGGTGTTACCCCTTTAGGAAAGTTAGTCACAAACTAACGCCTGAAGCCCTAAGTTCGTCAAATTGAATAAAATAACCGTATAAAGCTTACCAATTAAACATAAATATTGCAATAAGAACAAGGACACCCATTCTAATTTCGAGGAAAAACTGATTGACTCTCGATAAAGGAGGTTTCGATTTCGTTCACTTTGCCCATGCGCCACAGTTGAAAGCACCGTAATGCGGACAGCTTAGAGAAACAGGTAATCTTCCACATTACAGGTTAATAAAGCGTATTTGATATAGAGGAATGGAATGCGAGGTATCCGTATTATAGAGTTGTTCACGTACCGTATTTATTCGAATAAGCGCCCAGCCTCGAATTAGCGCCTACCTCGAATAAGCGCCCATGCTAAAGGCAGAAAAAATTAATAAGCGCCCAGCCTCGAATAAGCGCCCACCTCACCTCACTTCCTCCCACAAAAACTCCAATAAGAGATAATAAGAGACCCTCCCGAAGACGGAGTTTTCTTCAGAGTATTTTACAGAAACCTTGCTTTGCTACATCTTCGCTTTTTGTTAGTACCATTTACTGTTTTGTTGCAAAATAAACTACTACACTTGTTGAGAATGGTGAAAATTTAATAAGCGCCCAGCCTCGAATAAACGCCCACCTCGAATAAGCGCCCACTCTCAAGGTCCAAAAATTTAATAAGCGCCCAGGGCGGTTAATCGAATAAATACGGTATTTATGTACTTGTGTTTTTTAAAGGACAATCCATATTTGTTTTTTACAATAGGTTAAATCCTCATTCCATGAATGGCTTGACGGAACCGCAGAAGAGAATCTGACGGCATCTTTGCTCCGTCAACAACTCGAGATGTCCCGCGAAATGTACTTTATGGACACAAGGCTTTAATTCTTTTAATCGACGCACTGTTTACATTGTTTTTGTAGAAGGCCCTCTGGGTTCCTGGCAAGGCTCATTTCCTGGAATAAACGTTCACGTTCCTATAAGCGTCCCCCCTGATGTTCAAACAAGTACACAGACTGAAGGAGCAAGCGGTTATAACTGTGATCGACTCAACGAAAATTTACAAATGACATTTTTCAAGAGTAGTTATTGTTTTCAAACTCTGAACAATAGTTGAACGTGTAAATTACACTTTACACTTTGTATGTCAGCGGTCATTTTTGTTTAACTCAAGACAACCGTTCGGTTTGTTCGGTCCTCAAATTACAAAAAGGGAAAAAGTAGAGACACAATTGATTTTCATTACTACATAGCACCCAGCAGTACAAAAAACCCGTGATGGAAAACTGAAGTGTAATAGAAAATCAGCCTCTTCTGAAAAAAGCCTTCTAAATGAAGAGGTAACTCTCTAAAAGAGTTGCTTATAATTTGAAGGCTTAAAGCAACCACAAATCCGGAAGGGGGCTGTACAGGCCTATCTTTGAGTACCTTTAACCAACGACATCAATCGCTAAAATCTGCGATCTTGAGTTCTATACAAGCGTGTTTTCATTGAAGGGAAAATCCCTGTGTGTTGAACTTGCATTGAAAGTATAACTTTTTGCCTGACAGCAGCTGCTGGTAATCGGGCCGAATCAGTCTGCAGAACCTACACCTTTAGCGGTTCGGCGTGACAAAACATAGCAGCAGTATCGAGAGTTGAGAGAAGGGAATTCATATAACATTATCAAAACAAAACAAAATCATAATTAAGATCTGGTGAATTTACGGAAAGCTATAGTCTGAAATGAAATGTCAGCTTTCTCCTCTCCCTTTGTTATGATGGGTAATAGAAAAAAGTATAGCTTTTAGTGGTAAATAGAGATATATGGCGCTTGCAATTGTGTGCAATATATAAACAGAGACAAAACAGACAACATAATCTTCCAAGCGAAAGGCTTTCTTGTACATGGTCCATATGAAAACTTTATTTAAAAACACATGCAGCCCAGTGATGTCTTAAAAATCCTCAAAAGCATACCTAACCCTCCAGAAAATTAAAAAAGGAACGATAAATGATTTGCAGTCGTGCAAGCCCGGCCATATCTTTTAACAAAGATGCTTACGGCTATCCTATTGATTTTAAATGACGACAAAAGAACTGAAAGACACAGAGCCGTAGATAAAAACACACCCTCTCAAGATTCTGTTTACCCCTTTCCATTTGAACAACAGTTTCATGACTGTACTTTCCACTGACCTGTCCACGCTCTGTAGAGACAAATCTCACACTAATCTGCCCCTACCCCGAATCTTTTGTTTGTAATCTCCTAGATTCTGGGGGACACGTGACCAGACCCACTCGACGGGTAGGAGAGAGAACCTGGGAACGAGGGTGAGGGACACCAATATGGCGTCTCCATACAAAACATGGGTAAAACTTTTTTTCCAAATATCTCGCCTATGAAATATCGCACAGACCTGATTCTTGGCGAGGCTTTTTGTATATTTGTCTTCTTTTATTTCCCAGATTTTAAACTTGGTATTTTTTATGGTTTGCATTTTTAATTTTGATGGCGTGACAGTGAAAACAGAGAATAAACAATTACTATTTTTCATTCGGCACTACGATTGGCCTATAGACCAAATATCCCAGCAACTATCCAAGAGCTTCCCACTCAGTTACTTTCGCCTGAGGATTTGAAAAGAACCCTTAATTACCGACACTTAACGAATACCGTTTGAGTTCTGAATAAAAATAAAGCACATTTCAAGGCTTTTCCACAATAAATATAAAGGCTCAACAGGGCAAAACAAAATACTAATTCAATGTGAGTAATTGAGCATTAGTACACAAACATTTATAACCCTTATTCAGTCGAAACTCGTGTTTCCTATAGCTCAAGCGTGTGACGTCAAAGTATTCCCACACTTTTGTCAGTAATCGGCTCCTGCTTTTGTAAACAATAGATAAAGACTGAAGAGGGGGCGTATTCTCAGGTGTGGCGCGCATGTGGTCTATCTCAATTTACCCATTTTTCTATTGGGGGGCGTTCATAAATCATTACTTAATAAATTCGCTTGTAAACTATGCCATAAGCAGTCTGGCCAAAGTCCCCCACCCAGTGTTTTAAATTGTTCTTGAAAAGCCCTAAGGGGAATGGATAATACAATGTTTGCTTTCAAAACTCCTAACACGTTGTAGTTGCATTAAATAAACGATAAACGATAAACAGGTTGTAGTTGCATTAAATAAACGATAAACGATAAATTCTTTTTCCATGTAGATTTCGCTGGTTAAAAGACGACTAACAGCTGGACATTTTAACGCCAATATGAACATAAGTGTCGTATTAAGTCAACCTTTTTTTTAAAAAAAAATAAAGTTTGCAATGCCGTTTTTTATTAAAGGGATATGGGTAACGTATTCGTTTTTAATCACCAAATCAGGCATGGTTTGGCTAAGTAACAGCCAGTTTTCCTTTTAATAGCCCTTTGTAATCCCACCTTACTTTTTCAAAAGTCAAGATCACCTTTAATTAAGGAGGTAATAAAATACTCTTTTTGGCGAGTATTCATGACAATTATCTCGTCTTAAACGTAGTATTTGATGGAGATGAGCGGTTGTTGGAAACTTCTAGAATTTTGAATTACAAAGTTTTCAGTTAAACACCATCTCATGAATTTTATGAAAAGATTATAGCTGAAGTTAAAGTTGTTAATATGAAGATTGATCTCCACGTGGATGAACCACGTGCGGGCAGCCATGCATTAATTTTGATTGCTCTTAGATTAGTACACCTCGGACTTGAACTAAAAATAAACTACCATACCGGCTTTATTAATAATGCACGCACTGGGTGGATAACCACCGAAATAAACAAAATAAATATAGACTGAACAGTGGGTGGATCTGGGTGGATGTAAAAGCAAGAAAACCATTAATTTTTTTTTTTTTGTGGGGGGGGGCGGCACTTAGTAAAACAATTTGCAGTTGCCAAAAGAAACAAAAACAAGCAAATAAAAGAGTTGTTCTTAAAAAGCCAGAGGAACACTTGTGCTGAAATTCTAACATTTGCATCTCGAATGATCACAGTAAACTAAATATTTATTTTCATTTGATGGCTTTTGCTTGAGAAAATGGACAAGAAGGCACTTTGTTACTTGTTATTGACCTTATCAAGGAGCCCATAACTAGAAGCCTACATCTCCCATACAAGCCCTTGGAGTCAAATCTTTTCCGAGTAGATTTATAATTAGAACGGTTCCCAGAGTAAGGCATCGGGAGAAATGGTTGGACATTTCCGCATATCAATGAGCCATTGAGCTGGACTTATCAGGCATCAATGTGCCAAGAAAGCGGCATAATAATTATAGAGAAAACGGCGATTTTGGCGCAGCAGCGTTAGGACTAAAATCGTCATTTCGGTAGCTAAAAAGATGAGTTCTTTGACATTATGGAGCGGATTCTTTAAGTTAAAGGATTAATCGATCATTCCATCTTAGGAAATCTTAGGAAAAATAAATGAGAATTAGGTTCAGACTTTTAACATAAAAAATCAGGCATTTTACCGGGTATTTTCAGTATGGAAAACAACCCCTGTCCAAGTTAGACATAGAATTTCTCCAAAAAGAATCACGAATCTTCATATTATAGAGCGGATTATTTAAGACAATTGCCTTAAGTACACGTGGATAACTTTTCCTTAAAAAGTTGACTCGATTAAGTTGCGGACTTTTAAGTTTGAAAATATAAGGTTTAAACTTAGCGCACAGTCGGAATGAAGTCATTGGCCGTTTATTATTGGCACCCAACGACAGTTTTCTGTAAAATATCTAGATTCAGAGAAGCAAAACTTGCCTAGAATTTCCTATACCTTGAGGAAGGCTAAGAATTTCTAGATGACCGTTCCATTCATGTACAATTTTCGAAGCGTATGTAATTAATTACCTACGATTTTCTTAAGTTTAATTTTTCGCATTTCACTCCCCGGATTAAGCTATTTTTCGCAGAAAAAGGAAACCTAAAATTTTCGGATTCGAAAATGCGATGGAAAGAGGAATTTCAAAAATTCTCACTTTCACTGAAGCCCTGGTAATTTTGAAAAGACTCAAGTTGCCCTAGGATGACCGAACAGATATGAATTTTATAGTGCCGATTAGAATATATTTTTAAAGATCTTAAAGTACTCTGGATAGCCTAACAAGTGTTTTCAATGCATTTTGGAGAAAACAGCCGTTGGGTGCCCCTGGTTTATACGAGAGAAAATACGCCGCACCTTAAATAAGACGTGAATGGAACCTTTTATACGAGTGCAGCCTACATAAGACGCGAACTACTCGTATAAATGGTTCACCCATTAGTTCGTGGCCAGACCGGTCCAATGATGACGTGGTTTGTCAGTTGGTGCCTCGTGTAATTTGTAGCAATGGCTCGATCGGGCAAAAAAGCGAAACAATTGGGTTTGGTCAGTAAATTCGCCATATTTTACACTGTCTTTTTCGTTTCAAATTAACATTTCGGTCAAGATTAGTGCTGGGTTGTTGCGAAACTTGTGCGGAAACCTAGACGAAATTAAAAGTTCGTCAGCGATCAATCGAGTGGTTTGAAAGAGACGTTTTCTACTGCAACGCCCGTGTTTCGGCCGTGAAGGTCTGGGATATAATTGAAAACAGAGCATCCATAGCCACCTGATCCGTAATAATAACGCTCTAAAACTTCTAACAGTTAGTTAGGAGTAGTTCAAATGCGTGAAGTGTGTTCTTGCCTCACAAAAGGAAAAAGCAATAGAGATATTTGGCTTTTGTTAGTTTAACCCGCCCACTCCACGACAAAGGGTACTGCCGCGCGTTCATGGTAATCAATGAAAAAGGTTCCCGTAGAGCATTTTAGTGACGTTTTCGTAGGCGTCGTTGTCGTCGTTGCTTAAGCTTCCTATTGTTGTACATCAAAGTAAACAGCACATGTACAGGAAATACAGTGTTGACAGGCCAAACACAATCATAAGCTCGCGAAAACTGACCTTAGCGTTTTGCTCTAGAACATTCCTCAGGGATTTTGTATCTTTTCTTTCTTGCGGGTAGAAATACCGTGGAGAATTCTTAACTTATAAGGCCGATATTGTAGTTCAGTATTGTCTGCAGTTCTGACAGAATTTGATTGTAACACCGGTTTTCTTAAGCCAATTATTTTTTTAGGATAAAGGTTTTTATTTTGGCTAAATGACCCTCTATATAATCAAGGTTTTAGTTTCTTAATGCGTTGATGTGAATAAATACTTGTAGTTGTTTTGTCCGTCAGCGTGATGATTCCCTGCTAACGCCTGACCCAGCTCTTTTAAA